CTTACTCTGGTCATACACTCAGAGATCACAGATATACAGGATTCCCTTACTCTGGTCATACACTCAGAGATCACAGGTATACAGGATTCTCTTACTCTGGTCATACACCCAGAGATCACAGATATACAGGATTCTCTTACTCTGGTCATACACTCAGAGATCACAGATATACAGGATTCTCTTACTCTGGTCATAAACTCAGAGATCACAGATATACAGGATTCTCTAACTCTGGTCACACACTTAGAGATCAAAGATATACAGGATTCCCTTACTCTAGTCAGACACTCAGAGATCACAGATATACAGGATTGCCTTACTCTGGTCGCACACTCAGAGATCACAGATATACAGGATTGTCTTACTCTGGTCATACACTCAGAGATCACAGTTATACAGGATTCTCTTACTCTGGTCATACACCCAGAGATCACAAATATACAGGATTCTCTTACTCTGGTCATAAACTCAGAGATCACAGATATACAGGATTCTCTAACTCTGGTCATACACTTAGAGATCAAAGATATACAGGATTCCCTTACTCTGGTCATACACTCAGTGATCACAGATATACAGGATTCCCTTACTCTGGTCATACACTCAGAGATCACAGATATACAGATTCTCTTACTCTGGTCATACACTCATAGATCACAGATATACAGGATTCCCTTACTCTGGTCATACACTCAGAGATCACAGATATACAGGATTCTCTTACTCTGCTCCCCCACTCAGAGATCACAGATATACAGGATTCCCTTACTCTGGTCATACACTCTGAGATCACAGATATACAGAATTCTCTTACTCTGGTCATACACTCAGAGATCACAGATATACAGGAATCCCTTATTCTGGTCATACACTCAGAGATCACAGATATACAGGATTCTCTTACTCTGGTCACACACTCAGAGATCACAGATATACAGGATTCTCTAACTCTGGTCATTCACTCAGATATCACAGATATACAGGATTCTCTTACTCTGGTCATACACTCAGAGATCACATATATACAGGATTCTCTTACTCTGGTCATACACTCAGAGGTCACAGATATACAGGATTTCCTTACTCTGGTCATACACTCAGAGATCGCAGATATACAGATTCTCTTACTCTGGTCATACACTCAGAGATCACAGATATACAGGATTCCTTTACTCTGGTCATGCACTCAGATAACACAGATATACAGGATTCTCTTACTCTGGTCATACACTCAGAGATCACAGATATACAGGATTCTCTTACTCTGGTCATACACTCAGAGATCACAGATATACAGGATTCTCTTACTCTGGTCATTCACTCAGAGATCACAGATATACAGGATTCTCTTACTCTGGTCACACACTCAGAGATCACAGATATACAGTATTCCCATACCCTGGTCATACACTCAGAGAGCACAGATATACAGGATTCCCTTACTCTGGTCATACACTCAGAGATCACAGATATACAGGATTCTCTAACTCTGGTCATACGCTCAGAGATCACAGATATACAGGATTCCCTTACTCTAGTCATACACTCAGAGATCACAGATATACAGGATTCTCTAACTCTGGTCATACGCTCAGAGATCACAGATATACAGGATTCCCTTACTCTGGTCATGCACTCAGAGATCACAGATATACAGGATTCCCTTATTCTGGTCACACACTCAGAGATCACAGATATACAGGATTCTGTTAATCTGGTCATACACTCAGAGATCACAGATATACAGGATTCTCTAACTCTGGTCATACACTCAGAGATCACAGATATACAGGATTCCCTTACTCTGGTCATACACTCAGAGATCACAGATATACAGGATTCTCTTATTCTGGTCACACACTCAGAGATCACAGATATACAGGATTCTGTTAATCTGGTCATACACTCAGAGATCACAGATATACAGGATTCTCTTACTCTGGTCAATCCCTACCAACTGAAAGGTGGCTTGTATTGGAACTTTGATTAATGAGAAAATCCAACAGTGTAGAGAAAATATGTACATCAAGAGTACAACCCTTAGACTTAAATTGAAAAAAGTTAATCTTTGAATATATATATATATCTTTCGATGTTGGCAGAAATAAAGGAATGGTTGCAATTCTATCATTCTTTTTCAGGATTCTGGTACCAGTAGCAGAGATCCGGTCAAATGCCTGGGTAAGGTTGAACTCAAGGTCATAGCTGTTGAAGGCAAGGTCATGCTGGATGGTGCCATAGTTACCAAGGTCATTCTCAAGGACACAATAGTAGATGATGCCAGACCAGAGAAACAGAACGGAGTCACAAGGTACAGTGGGCCTTTTCTTTCCATGAAACACTTGACATGGGAAGTCACTCTAGGCCAGAAACCTCATTTTGGGTAGCTACATATAGAAGGGAGATTACTATAATTAAAAAAACACTGAGTGGAAATCTTCTCGATTTTAACTGATGTCAGTGGTAGCCTCTACCTTAACTGATGTCAGTGGTAGCCTCTATTTTAACTGATGTCAGTGGTAGCCTCTACCTTAACTGATGTCAGTGGTAGCCTCTACCTTAACTGATGTCAGTGGTAGCCTCTACCTTAACTGATGTCAGTGGTAGCCTCTACCTTAACTGATGTCAGTGGTAGCCTCTACCTTAACTGATGTCAGTGGTAGCCTCTACCTTAACTGATGTCAGTGGTAGCCTCTACCTTAACTGATGTCAGTGGTAGCCTCTACCTTAACTGATGTCAGTGGTAGCCTCTACCTTAACTGATGTCAGTGGTAGCCTCTACCTTAACTGATGTCAGTGGTAGCCTCTACCTTAACTGATGTCAGTGGTAGCCTCTACCTTAACTGATGTCAGTGGTAGCCTCTACCTTAACTGATGTCAGTGGTAGCCTCTACCTTAACTGATGTCAGTGGTAGCCTCTACCTTAACTGATGTCAGTGGTAGCCTCTACCTTAACTGATGTCAGTGGTAGCCTCTACCTTAACTGATGTCAGTGGTAGCCTCTACCTTAACTGATGTCAGTGGTAGCCTCTACCTTAACTGATGTCAGTGGTAGCCTCTACCTTAACTGATGTCAGTGGTAGCCTCTACCTTAACTGATGTCAGTGGTAGCCTCTACCTTAACTGATGTCAGTGGTAGCCTCTACCTTAACTGATGTCAGTGGTAGCCTCTACCTTAACTGATGTCAGTGGTAGCCTCTACCTTAACTGATGTCAGTGGTAGCCTCTACCTTAACTGATGTCAGTGGTAGCCTCTACCTTAACTGATGTCAGTGGTAGCCTCTACCTTAACTGATGTCAGTGGTAGCCTCTACCTTAACTGATGTCAGTGGTAGCCTCTACCTTAACTGATGTCAGTGGTAGCCTCTACCTTAACTGATGTCAGTGGTAGCCTCTACCTTAACTGATGTCAGTGGTAGCCTCTACCTTAACTGATGTCAGTGGTAGCCTCTACCTTAACTGATGTCAGTGGTAGCCTCTACCTTAACTGATGTCAGTGGTAGCCTCTACCTTAACTGATGTCAGTGGTAGCCTCTACCTTAACTGATGTCAGTGGTAGCCTCTACCTTAACTGATGTCAGTGGTAGCCTCTACCTTAACTGATGTCAGTGGTAGCCTCTACCTTAACTGATGTCAGTGGTAGCCTCTACCTTAACTGATGTCAGTGGTAGCCTCTACCTTAACTGATGTCAGTGGTAGCCTCTACCTTAACTGATGTCAGTGGTAGCCTCTACCTTAACTGATGTCAGTGGTAGCATCTACCTTAACTGATGTCAGTGGTAGCATCTACCTTAAATGGCATTGAGGGATTCTGATCTTAATTTGCATGAAATGTTCCTGAAACCAAATGACATCGGTATTATATAAATAAAGGGTGACCAAGGGAATATTGTGATTTATAAACAAAAAATTGTTGAGACATGGGGTGGGATCCAAAACATCCAATTGGTGTTAATCTTTAAAAAGTTGCTTCATAAGTACAAGCAAGGAAATTTTGACCTAATTTGGTATGAAGCGTCTATTGGCCGAATGAATTGAAAGATGTATAAATGTAGATTGCGGTCTCCCCAATGGGGAAAAAAGGGCAAAACCATTTTACCAGTTCTGATATCCAGATGTGTGCAGAAATTAGTGCAAATGGTCATCTCATGACTAGATGATAACCATGGCCTCTGTTTGCTGAGATATTTTCAGTTTTTCAATTTTCATCCGACTGATTTTGACAAACAAATACAAGTGCTCATCTTGTGGCCTGAAGTGTTGATTGAATTCTATGAGTTGATAAGAAATCTGAAATGTCCATCAGGGTCGCAAGTCAGTGGAAATATATAAACTTTGTGTCTAGTAAGAGTAAAAAAGGCAACAAGTGAGGGATACAGGCCCTGTAGACCTCTTGTTACCAAAATGCTAAGTCTTCCACAAATTTTACAATTTGTGGCATCATAAAAACAGTCACACTGGATGTTTTGGTATTTGTGTTAAATGTCTAATTATGATTTTGGCCATGTCTGATTTCAGGATGATAGAGAGAAATGCTGTTAAACTGTCAGAGAACACAATAGGTACAGGTGGTGGCCAGGGAGCCAACATGATTGACGTCAGTTTTACACAGGAGAGTAACCAAGACAAGGACAGTAAGTGTGACTATACCACGGTTCTGTGAAAATCATTTCATTGTTCCTCATATTTCGAGATTTGCGAAAATGGTATATTTTGTGCTTGGTAAAGATTATTGCTACTCATATAATGAGATGAATTTTTTTCAAGAGATTACCATGAAAATTGTTAGAATTAAAACATCGCGAACGTATACAACCCTTACAGTAGATCTAAATAAGGCCGGTGTTCGAGTCATGTTACTTCTGTTCCAGTGTTAACACATTTAATCCATATTAGTCTGAATTTTAATTAGTTCTAAAACTATCCACCTGTACTGAGGATGTTAGTTCTAAAGATATCCACCTGTACTGAGGATGTTAGTTCTAAAGATATCCACCTGTACAGAGGATGTTAGTTCTAAAGATATCCACCTGTACTGAGGATGTTATTTCTAAAGATATCCACCTGTACTGAGGATGTTAGTTCTAAAAGTATCCACCAGTACAGAGAATGTAAGTTCTAAAACTATCCACCAGTACAGAGAATGTTAGTTCTAAAACTATCCACCTGTACAGAGAATGTTAGTTCTAAAACTATCCACCTGTACGGAAGATGTTAATTCTAAAAATATCCACCAGTACAGAGGATGTTAGTTCTAAAATTATCCACCAGTACAGAGGATGTTAGTTCTAAAACTATCCACCTGTACAGAAGATGTTAGTTCTAAAACTATCCACCAGTACAGAGAATGTTAGTTCTAAAACTATCCACCAGTACAGAGAATGTTAGTTCTAAAACTATCCACCAGTACAGAGGATGTTAGTTCTACAACTATCCACCAGTATCTCACAGAAGTATCATAAGTACAGGTTACAACAACTCAGTACGTATGTTATTATGACTGCTGATGTATGAGTCGTGCTCTTATGTTTGGAACTGCTGTTTGTGATTTCCATGTTCTGTAATTGTGTTGTGTTCTGTTGTAGTCGCGGTGAAGGTAAGCAGTCTGTATATATGTGTGTGCGTGGACTTCCTGATGGCGTTAGCGACCTTCTTCCAAATGCCAGAGGCGAAAAATAAGCCAGCAGTGGCAGCCAAGGAGGATAAACCAAAAGGTAAAAAAGTGGGTTAAGGATGTCAGCATGGCTACACTTGTATTTATGATACTAACATAATCAAGTTCATTTCTACTTTTAAATTTAAAAAAAAATGTTACCATGTAAATTTAGTCATTAAAAGAAATTCAGTCATCGACTATAATGGTATATGAAATTTGAAATGAAGATGTTAATGGATTCAAAAAAAAGTAAGCTTATGCCGTACTGTGGCGTCTAGTTGTCTGTCTGCAATTTCTTCAGATGGTGGTTATTCAAAATTGTACAACAAATGTCTTGAGATCCAATACATATAACAATATATATTGCTGAGTATAAAGAGATAAATCCACATTAGCTTTCAGCATTGGCCCTGAGGTCTGGCCCCACTCCTTGAGGTTTTCCCTTGGGCCATACCTTGAAAGTGTTGAGATTCCCACCCTATAACCATGTACATGTACACCATTGCTTAACATGAGAGACATTCACAATCATGATTTCAAAATTGACTCTATATAAGGTCTGCCCCTAAGGACTTATTTTCTGGGTCACAACATTGAAACTGATTGAGTTACCACCCTATAACCAGATAAAAAAAATGCTGTTCCTGTAAAGTGCAAGCACAAATATGCTATCGGGAATATTCATGGGGTCTGCCCCGCCCATAGGGACTTAGTCCCTGAGTCATAAATTGAAAACAAAATTTATCCCAATCCTATAACATCATAAGTCCCTGGGTCATAAATTGAAAAAAATGTATATCCCAATCCTATAACATCATATAAAAAATGATGCGGATAAAGATTTAAATACACATGAATTATGCTATGGGGTCTGGCTCATTTATAGGAACTTATCCACAATGTTGCTTTATACAAGAACATTTTGTCACATTTGCTAAAACATCTCGGTGATCAATAGAAACCTGTTATGCCTCTTGTGAAGGAGGTCATTGTGACCCTTTTAATCTATTTATAGCCACACCATCTAAACAAGTACAGCAGCCTCCAGTGGCAGAGATGAGGATTACCGTTACCATGGAGAAACCCGAGATCATTCTGATAGAGGACCAATCAAAACCTAGTAGTACTGCTCTCAAAATGGATGTAAGTGTGTGACCTTTGTTATAAATGGATGTAAGTGTGTTAGCTTTGTTGTAAATGGTTGTTAGTGTGTGAGCTTTGTTATAAATGGTTGTTAGTGTATGAGCTTTGTTGGAAATGGTTGTTAGTGAGTGAGCTTTGTTGTATATGGTTGTTAGTGTGAGAGCTTTGTTATAAATGGATGTAAGGGTGTGACCTTTGTTATAAATGGATGTAAGGGTGTGACCTTTGTTATAAATGGATGTAAGGGTGTTAGCTTTGGTGTAAATGGTTGTTAGTGCGTGAGCTTTGTTATAGATGGTTGTTAGTGTGAGAGCTTTGTTATAAATGGATGTTAGTGTGTGAGCTTTCTTGTAAATGGTTGTTAATGTGTGATCTTTGTTATAAATGGGTGTTAGTGTGTGAGCTGTGTTATAAATAGTTGTTAGTGTGTGAGCTTTGTTATAAATAGTTGTTAGTGTGTGAACTTTGTTGTAAATGGTTGTTAGTGTATGAGCTTTGTTGTAAATGGTTGTTAGTGTGTGAGCTTTGTTATAAATGGTTGTTAGTGTGTGAGCTTTGTTATAAATGGATGTTAGTGTGTGAGCTTTGTTATAAATGGTTGTTAGTGTGTAACTTTGTTATAAATGGTTGTTAGTGTGTGAGCTTTGTTATAAATGGTCGTTAGTGTGTGAGCTTTGTTATAAATGGATGTAAGTGTGTAAGCTTTGTGATAAATGGTTGTTAGTGTGTGAGCTTTGTTATAAATGGTTGTTAGTGTGTGAGCTTTGTTATAAATGAATGTAAGTGTGTGAGCTTTCTTATAAATGGTTGTTAGTGTGTGAGCTTTGTTATAAATGGTTGTTAGTGTGTGAGCTTTGTTATAAATAGTTGTTAGTGTGTGAGCTTTGTTATAAATGGTTGTTAGTGTGTGAGCTTTGTTATCAATGGTTGTAAGTGTGTGAGCTTTGTTATAAATGGTTGTGTACTTTAGATATAAAGGTTGAAAAGTATTTCTGATACAAAATATTAAGACGGCATGCTTACAACAACAAATTCTGCTTGTGTCTCCTGGCAAATCATTGTGTTTTAAATAAGACTCCAACATTCTTCGTATATTTTACATATTTTATTTCTTAGATTCCTCTTTGATTCAAACTGAAATTATTTGTTTAGAAAGCCTAATAAAGATTATTACCTGTGAATGTTTTCATATTGGGGACCAATCAAGTTGTGATGTCAGATAAAAACTTTGGTGGAAATTTCCAATAAACTTGATTGTGTAGCCTGATGATAATGATAATAGTGGAATACATAACTATGTTTCCTCAGTACCAAACAGATCGACAATGTTTAACATGTATTTTCAACAAAAGAAACCTCCCAGAAAGATAACATATCATTGTTGGGTTAATTGTAAATCTAAGGGTTAAAATGTGTATTCGTCACATTTATGATGAGTTGAAACCTTTTACTTTTAAATGTATTCTCTAAGTTTTCCTTCTGTGAATCCCTGAACATTGTTGCAAGCAACTGGGCTTAAAAAAATACAGTCAATTAGCAATGTTAAGTGATGCTTAAACTTATCTGAAACCTCTCTGTCATTTTGTCATTTTAATAAGAGTGAAGTAATATTTGGTTTCAGACTCAACTGTCCTTCAAGATGCGGATGTCAACCCAGCGGCAAGAAATGTCGGCCATCCTCCAAGACCTTCAGATTACGTCGTGTATATTCAACCAACGCCAAAACATCGGGGCCCAGGTAACATCACAGGATAAATACAGTTAAAAGTTTGTTATATAAGTTTTATGCCACTTCCCCCAACCCCCACCCCTCCATAAAAATGGGGTGGGGTGGGGGGCAATAGTGTTACCCATGTCTTGACAAATTTTCATCAAAATTTATACAACTTTCAGAATAGTGAGTATCTCAGGGCCTCAAGGTCAATGCTGAGGTCACTGTTGCTATCCATATTTCAACCATTGCTATTTTGTCAACAGTTTCATTCTATTCAGCTTACCAACTTTAGGGGTAGGGGGCATTTTTGTCCAACAGAGATTTTCAAGTTTACATCAAGAATCAATAATGCAAACCCAAGGTCTGAAAAATATATATTTCAGTATTATATTAATCACGTGTTGTTCAATGTAGATTCTTATTTGAGGCACTACCTTAAACATTAGTATGTACTGTTACACAGACTAATGAATGATATAAATTATACTGTTTGTTCCAGATCTTGCATCCGTGTGAGATCTCATTCTACAGCCAAGCCCCTTTTGGTAAAGGTGCCCACATGGACTTATCTACGTCAGACCTGATCCTTAACATCTCCCCGGCAACCATACGAACCATCTCCGAAGTGGTGGCCACACTCTCTGCCAAGTCTGTAAGTACATCTACCACCAGGGGGCGTGACATGTACAATGGCTGACAAGAAAATATTTTCTATCATTTCCCTGTGTGTAAGATCGAGCTGTCAATGGGAAGAAAGGGGTGTAGGAAATTTCTATCCTACACCGCATTTCACGTGACGTGACGTCACAATGGCTCAACAATGAGGTGACGTCACAGATTTGGAACTCTCTGATGCCACAATGCGAAAAAGGCAATGTGATGAAATTAAAACCTTTTACAATATATTTACCGTACACATCTGAAAGATGAGATTAATTTTATGTGGATACACTAAATCTGGCTGGCTAATTAGTTTTTGTCTAAAATTTTCAGGAGGAAAATTGATATTTTCAAAATGGTGGCCAGTCCAACCGCATTTTGGTGGTTTCTGAGCTTAGTCTAGTGGCTGGAATGAGAGAAAAATACTCTTTCATGCCCAAGGGTGTAGGACTCCCCTGCATCTTATAATCTGTACATTTACACTAAGGGGGTGAGACATGTACACTTAGCACCAGGGGGTGAGACATGTACACCTAGGACCAGGGGCTGAGACATGTACACTTAGCACCAGGGGCTGAGACATGTACACGTAGCACCAGGGGCTGAGACATGTACACTTACCACCAGGGGCTGAGACATGTACACTTACCACCAGGGGCTGAGACCTATAACCCCCCTTGCGGCAAGTGTCTAGGCACAGTTTATTAATGTCTGTTTATTGATTTTCCTTCTACAAAATTTAAACATGCAGAGTTCTTTAAACTGAAGAGTCCTGGTACTGATGAATGAAACTGATATGAAACATGACTAATTAACATAGTGATTCTAAACAACTGTTTAAACCGTTCAGGGAGAGGCTGAGAAAGCCAACACCTACAAAGTACCGACCGACCTCTGGGAAACTAAGAAGCTGGAGGGTAAGGACTTCTGGTACCTGACAACAGATGAACCCGATTCGACAGTTACAGATCTCGTCACCATGGAAGACGAAGACAAGAGGGAGGAACAGGTAAACTCCTCACCTTGTTTTCATCAGAAAGTAGTCTATGGTATTATATGTCTGGCTGTAAATGAAGGACTATTTAACACCCTGAGTGTGTATTAAGTAGTCTATGGTATTATATGTCTGGCTGTAAATGAAGGACCACGGACTATTTAACACCCTGAGTGTGTATTAAGTAGTCTATGGTATTATATGCCTGGCTGTAAATGAAGGACCACGGACTATTTAACACCCTGAGTGTGTATTAAGTAGTCTATGGTATTATATGCCTGGCTGTAAATGAAGGACCACGGACTATTTAACACCCTGAGTGTGTATTAAGTAGTCTATGGTATTATATGCCTGGCTGTAAATGAAGGACCACGGACTATTTAACACCCTGAGTGTGTATTAAGTAGTCTATGGTATTATATGCCTGGCTGTAAATGAAGGACCACGGACTATTTAACACCCTGAGTGTGTATTAAGTAGTCTATGGTATTATATGCCTGGCTGTAAATGAAGGACCACGGACTATTTAACACCCTGAGTGTGTATTAAGTAGTCTATGGTATTATATGCCTGGCTGTAAATGAAGGACCACGGACTATTTAACACCCTGAGTGTGTATTAAGTAGTCTATGGTATTATATGCCTGGCTGTAAATGAAGGACCACGGACTATTTAACACCCTGAGTGTGTATTAAGTAGTCTATGGTATTATATGCCTGGCTGTAAATGAAGGACCACGGACTATTTAACACCCTGAGTGTGTATTAAGTAGTCTATGGTATTATATGCCTGGCTGTAAATGAAGGACCACGGACTATTTAACACCCTGAGTGTGTATTAAGTAGTCTATGGTATTATATGCCTGGCTGTAAATGAAGGACCACGGACTATTTAACACCCTGAGTGTGTATTAAGTAGTCTATGGTATTATATGCCTGGCTGTAAATGAAGGACCACGGACTATTTAACACCCTGAGTGTGTATTAAGTAGTCTATGGTATTATATGCCTGGCTGTAAATGAAGGACCACGGACTATTTAACACCCTGAGTGTGTATTAAGTAGTCTATGGTATTATATGCCTGGCTGTAAATGAAGGACCACGGACTATTTAACACCCTGAGTGTGTATTAAGTAGTCTATGGTATTATATGCCTGGCTGTAAATGAAGGACCACGGACTATTTAACACCCTGAGTGTGTATTAAGTAGTCTATGGTATTATATGCCTGGCTGTAAATGAAGGACCACGGACTATTTAACACCCTGAGTGTGTATTAAGTAGTCTATGGTATTATATGCCTGGCTGTAAATGAAGGACCACGGACTATTTAACACCCTGAGTGTGTATTAAGTAGTCTATGGTATTATATGCCTGGCTGTAAATGAAGGACCACGGACTATTTAACACCCTGAGTGTGTATTAAGTAGTCTATGGTATTATATGCCTGGCTGTAAATGAAGGACCACGGACTATTTAACACCCTGAGTGTGTATTAAGTAGTCTATGGTATTATATGCCTGGCTGTAAATGAAGGACCACGGACTATTTAACACCCTGAGTGTGTATTAAGTAGTCTATGGTATTATATGCCTGGCTGTAAATGAAGGACCACGGACTATTTAACACCCTGAGTGTGTATTAAGTAGTCTATGGTATTATATGCCTGGCTGTAAATGAAGGACCACGGACTATTTAACACCCTGAGTGTGTATTAAGTAGTCTATGGTATTATATGCCTGGCTGTAAATGAAGGACCACGGACTATTTAACACCCTGAGTGTGTATTAAGTAGTCTATGGTATTATATGCCTGGCTGTAAATGAAGGACCACGGACTATTTAACACCCTGAGTGTGTATTAAGTAGTCTATGGTATTATATGCCTGGCTGTAAATGAAGGACCACGGACTATTTAACACCCTGAGTGTGTATTAAGTAGTCTATGGTATTATATGCCTGGCTGTAAATGAAGGACCACGGACTATTTAACACCCTGAGTGTGTATTAAGTAGTCTATGGTATTATATGCCTGGCTGTAAATGAAGGACCACGGACTATTTAACACCCTGAGTGTGTATTAAGTAGTCTATGGTATTATATGCCTGGCTGTAAATGAAGGACCACGGACTATTTAACACCCTGAGTGTGTATTAAGTAGTCTATGGTATTATATGCCTGGCTGTAAATGAAGGACCACGGACTATTTAACACCCTGAGTGTGTATTAAGTAGTCTATGGTATTATATGCCTGGCTGTAAATGAAGGACCACGGACTATTTAACACCCTGAGTGTGTATTGAGTAGTCTATGGTATTATATGCCTGGCTGTAAATGAAGGACCACGGACTATTTAACACCCTGAGTGTGTATTTGGTTGATATACAAGCCGTTCTATAGTTGTAACTGAGATTTTGTTGCAATTGTAATTCTTTTATTTCAAATAATTGAATATTACCACTTATTTTATTTTATGTCATAATTTTTGCTTTTAATGTACAATAATAATAGATGGAAAAAAATGTCAAGGGTAGAATATTAAAAAAAAAGAGGACAATATGTGTTATAATTTATATACCAGACAGTTAATTGGATAAAATGTATATCACAATAGACATTTATTTACTTTATTTACGTGCATTTTAAACTTTAATATGATTTTGTGGAGTAGAAGTTTTGGTAAAGTAACCTATTTCTTCAGGAAGAAGGATTGGAAGTAGGTAGATCTGTTATTCGCCCAGCAACCTTTGTGCTTATTAAGATAGACAGGTGGTTGCTAGGTTGTCTGTTAACCACAGCAACTAATACAGTTGCTATGGTTACCTTAAAGTGCAGTAGGTTGTTTTGACACTCAGAGCAATTCCTTATTCACAGCAGTCACTTGTGTTTCCTTGTGTACCACCATTGTTATTGTTACCATGACTACCACCATTGTTTCTATGACTTCCACCACTGTCCCCATGTCTACAACTTTTATTTCCATAGTTACAGCTCACGCCATTGACCTATAAAGTAGGTCACTCCTGCTTTCCTGTTCATTATTTTGTTACAGATTCTAATTGTCATGTTTGATGCTTAAACATCATTGCTGAAGATAATTTGTATGTGAGACAGTTAAACAATCCACTACACATTCAAATATAACAGGATTGGAGACACATGTCAGTGACAAATTTTTATCGTAATATAGATGTTTTAGAAAATTAAAATCCTGGAGAAAATGTTGACATTCAAAACACAACCATGATATGTTATATAGAGAGGAAGATCCATTCTGAAAGAAAGAACCTTTAAAATCATAATGAAACCTCTTTGCTGCAGATGTTTAGTTATAAAAAAAATAGAAAAAGGAATTGATGCTTAAGGATGTATGCTACTAGTACTGCTCCTCAAAGTATGTAAACCAGGACATGTTGAAGAGTTATCTCCCTTATAAGTACAATAACATTACCATCAAGCTGTGTTTGTTCAGCTTTCAGATATATCACTAATGAACAGATCATTTCATATTTCACATTAGGATTTCTTAATTGATAATTCTTTTGAAAGGAGATACACTACAGTATATAAAAATAAGGTAGCATATAGCCTTAAAGCTGTTTCTGATTTCTATTTCTAAAATAGCATTTCAGGACCCAGTTGTTCAAACTGTGATTGTCATAACCAGGAGTTAAAATTATATCTCAAACAGCTATTTTTAGAAATATCAGAATATTTACAAATATTCCTGTGATTCTTTCTTTTTTATTTTGAACCAGGAACTTGCACTTTTAGTTTTAAATTTCAATGCTTTGAATACCAGTATAATAATAGATGATAAATTATCATCAAGCTGATAAAATTTGGAACATTTGGGCCCAGATGATGAGAGATGTAAGGAGGTTCCATACAACAGAGAACGGAGGACAAGTACATAGTACTGTTACCATGAACAAAGTCTGATTACTGTTACCATGAACAAGGTCTGATTACTGTTACCATGAACAAAGTCTGATTACTGTTACCATGAACAAGTTCTGATTACTGTTACCATGAACAAGGTCTGATTACTGTTACCATGAACAAGGTCTGATTACTGTTACCATGAACAAGGTCTGATTACTGTTACCATGAACAAGGTCTGATTACTGTTACCATGAACAAGGTCTGATTACTGTTACCATGAACAAGGTCTGATTACTGTTACCATGAACAAGGTCTGATTACTGTTACCATGAACAAGGTCTGATTACTGTTACCATGAACAAGGTCTGATTACTGTTACCATGAACAAGGTCTGATTACTGTTACCATGAACAAGGTCTGATTACTGTTACCATGAACAAGGTCTGATTACTGTTACCATGAACAAGGTCTGATTACTGTTACCATGAACAAGGTCTGATTACTGTTACCATGAACAAGGTCTGATTACTGTTACCATGAACAAAGTCTGATTACTGTTACCCATACACAGTCTAGTTTACACAGTACTGAACACTTGTAGATTACTGTTAACCATACACAGTCTAGTTTACATAATACTTAACACTTGTAGATTACTGTTAACCATACACAGTCTAGTTTACACAATACTGAACACTTGTAGATTACTGTTAACCATACACAGTCTAGTTTACACAGTACTGAACACTTGTAGATTACTGTTAACCATACACAGTCTAGTTTACACAATACTGAACACTTGTAGATTACTGTTAACCATACACAGTCTAGTTTACACAATACTGAACACTTGTAGATTACTGTTAACCATACACAGTCTAGTTTACACAATACTGAACACTTGTAGATTACTGTTAACCATACACAGTCTAGTTTACACAGTACTGAACACTTGTAGATTACTGTTAACCATACACAGTCTAGTTTACACAATACTGAACACTTGTAGATTACTGTTTACCATACACAGTCTAGTTTAAACAATACTGAACACTTGTAGATTACTGTTAACCATACACAGTCTAGTTTACACAGTACCGAACACTTGTAGATTACTGTTAACCATACCCAGTCTAGTTTACACAATACTGAACACTTTTAGATTACTGTTAACCATACACAGTCCAGTTTACACAGTACTGAACACTTGTAGATTACTGTCAACCATACACAGTCTAGTTTACACAGTAATGAACACTTGTAGATTACTGTTAACCATACACAGTCTAGTTTACACAGTAATGAACACTTGTAGATTACTGTTTACCATACACAGTCTAGTTTACACAGTACTGAACACTTGTAGATTATTGTTAAGCATACACAGTCTAGTTTACACAGTAATTAACACTTGTAGATTACTGTTTACAATACACAGTCTAGTTTACACAGTAATGAACACTTGTAGATTACTGTTAGCCATACACAGTCTAGTTTACACAGCACTGAACACTTGTAGATTACTGTTAGCCATACACAGTCTAGTTTACACAGTAATTAACACTTGTAGATTACTGTTTACAATACACAGTCTAGTTTACACAGTAATTAACACTTGTAGATTACTGTTTACAATACACAGTCTAGTTTACACAGTAATGAACACTTGTAGATTATTGTTAACCATACACTGTCTAGTTTACACAAAACTGAACACTTGTAGATTACTGTTTACCAACCATACACAGTCTAGTTTACACAGTAATGAACACTTGTAGATTATTGTTAAGCATACACAGTCTAGTTTACACAGTAATTAACACTTGTAGATTACTGTTTACCATACACGGTCTAGTTTACACAGTACTGAACACTTGTAGATTACTGTTAACCATACACTGTCTAGTTTACACAATACTGAACACTTGTAGATTACTGTGCGGTTGTTTTTCATTGCAGTCAAACTCAGAATTGGTATATATACCCTTTATTGAGCATGTTGTGTTACCCATGTGTTTTGTTATTTATTTTGTTATTACTGATTTGTAATACCAATGTCCACCTGTGTTTGAGTTTTGAATCACTAGGGTAGAAAGATATGTTTATATATACTTGTTATATTAAGATTTGATTTTTAACTTGAACGTTCTTGTATTTCATATTTGCATGCAACACATAAATTAATAACCCCCTCCAACAAATATTCATGGAATACTCCAAATAACAAAACTTCATTATACATGTAATTCAAACTTAACCATATAATATTAATATGAAATATTTCTTCACAAAAAATAGCTCACACAAACAAGCTCCCTTTAAGGGAACTATACCTTCCCTAAAGGACAAAAAGTCAACTGTGTTATAAACGGTATGAGCATGTCGGAAAGATAAACAAAAACACTTCATTTCAACCTGCATGTATTGCCCTTATATATAAATCTTCCACGTAACTTAGCCTCATAGCAGCTCATGCAACCTCAACTTCAATACAATCCTCCACGCAGTCTTAATGCCTAGCTATCTTTATAAAGTACACGCCTACATATCTCGGCAGATAATTGATCACATTACTCGACTACACAAAATCATACCATCCCGCATTTCCCGATTGACTTACAAAATATACATATCAGGAATAGTTTTCTGTTATTCTCTATTACCCCTGTTGATGTAACTCTGAAGTTTCTGTCTGTAATGTATAGAAGATGTGAATGGCAAGTTTTAAAATATATCCTTTGTTTTCTGCTCCCTGATATTTCTACCCAGATCAATAATGTGATGAAAGCAATATTTTTCTGCATGTAAATATTTTGAAATCTCATTTCTCTTCAACCATAGCATCTTAATTGTTCATCTTATGAGTATTTAACAAAACAAGCAATTTACATCTTCAAAATCTTAATATTACTTAATATTCTATAATATTTATATGTAATGCAACGGTTTGAGAACTATAACCTTTACCACATATGAAATACAAGGTAAAATATAGAGTGGGATGCCTTTATCAGCCAGTGATCCTTCAGCCAGCTTAGCTTACAAGAATGTTTTTTGTTAAATTTGTTTTTGGTACACAGACAAAATTTCACCTTAACTGAAAGTCACTGAGCATAGGACCTATAAGTGTACCAAAACCCTGTAAGCTTACTTCATATTCTACGACGTTTGCGATGTTACAACACTTTTCATTGGGTAGTAATGGCTTATTATTGGATAAGAGCATGCACGTGCATGTGTTCATTTCCACAGACCAATTCTCTTCCGAAAACCTCCCCTTAGATGTAAATGAGAGTACATACATTTAATTTTGAATTGTATTTTGAAGATTGCTAGGGGAAAACAGTAAAGTTTATATTTAACCCCAAGATCTACTTTAAACCTGTTAAACTAACCATGAAGGTGACTTGAAACGGTGTTAGTTTGTAAATAGTCAAATCCTGATTGCATGTATTGACGAGCGATGTCGATAGATTGGTGGTTTTGATTGATTGAATTAAATATGTGGTATAAAACATGACGTTAGTGTTAATGGTTTATCGTCTGTCGACCAAATGGCGACTAAAAAATAAAAATTCTCCCAAAATATATTTCGGTTAATAATGAAGACATATAGGCATCAGGTGACAATAGTTAGATCACATATAGGCATCAGGTGACAATAGTTAGATCACATATAGGCATCAGGTGACAATAGTTAGATCACATATAGGCATCAGGTGACAATAGTTAGATCACATATAGGCATCAGGTGACAATAGTTAGATCACATATAGGCATCAGGTGACAATAGTTAGATCACATATAGGCATCAGGTGACAATAGTTAGATCACATATAGGCATCAGGTGACAATAGTTAGATCACATATAGGCATCAGGTGACAATAGTTAGATCACATATAGGCATCAGGTGACAATAGTTAGATCACGTTGGTTGGTTTGTGGGTTGAGACGCTTCACTGACAAAGTCAGTGTTTGGTCGACATGAGGGGGTAAGTTGCCACTTACCATGCCCTCAGAGATTCTTAAGTCCTGCCTATACAGGTCACGCTCTGAGGTGGGACAGCTCCTCAGATGCGGACAGGCTGTCACAGCTACTGCGGCCCACAGAACAACATCTTTTGTGTAGTCCTCGCTCTCCTCCTATGTTAGAGCGTGTAAAAGAACAGGTTATTTATAATAATCAGATTATCTAGGTCACCTTGCTAATCATTGGCGTATGGACACTGAGGTAGACATAAAAAGCCTTGATTTAATTTTACTTGATAAAATAGATATAATCAACATATTGTGTGTTATGGTGGAAAATATAACTCTCGATTCAAAAAATTTGGAAAATTAATCATCTCAGGCAGTCATGAGGCCTCCGTAAAAATAATCATCGCAGGCAGTCATGAGGCCTCCGTAAAAATAATCATCTCATGCAGTCATGAGGCCTCCGTAAAAATAATCATCTCGGGCAGTCATGAGGCCTCCGTAAAAATAATCATCGCAGGCAGTCATGAAGCCTCTGTAAAAATAATCATCGCCGGCAGTCATGAGGCCTCCGTAAAAATAATCATCTCGGGCAGTCATGAGGCCTCCATAAAAATAATCATCTCATGCAGTCATGAGGCCTCCGTAAAAATAATCATCTCATGCAGTCATGAGGCCTCTGTAAAAATAATCATTTCGGGCAGTCATGAGGCCTCTGTAAAAATAATCATCTCGGGCAGTCATGAGGCCTCCATAAAAATAATCATCTCATGCAGTCATGAGGCCTCTGTAAAAATAATCATCTCGGGCAGTCATGAGGCCTCCATAAAAATAATCATCTCATGCAGTCATGAGGCCTCTGTAAAAATAATGATCGCAGGCAGTCATGAGGCCTCTGTAAAAATAATCATCTCATGCAGTCATGAGGCCTCTGTAAAAATAATCATCTCGGGCAGTCATGAGGCCTCCATAAAAATAATCATCTCATGCAGTCATGAGGCCTCCGTAAAAATAATCATCGCAGGCAGTCATGAGGATTCGGTAAAAATAATCATCTCAGGCAGTCATGAGGCCTCTGTAAAAATAATCATCTCGGGCAGTCATGAGGCCTCCGTAAAAATAATCATCTCATGCAGTCATGAGGCCTCTGTAAAAATAATGATCGCAGGCAGTCATGAAGCCTCTGTAAAAATAATCATCGCAGGCAGTCATGAGGCCTCCGTAAAAATAATCATCTCAGGCAGTCATGAGGCCTGCGTTAATTATTTTTTCAACATTTTCTCCCCCTTGTTGTATATTCCACCACACACATTGATTATTTCTTTGATATAACGCTGATTAAATGCTGTATATCTGAAACACATCTTAACCCTTTCACCCCTATGTAACTTAAGTAGACTCTACCATGCATTGATATTATGACAGTGGTGAAAGGGTTAAAGATTCTTTCTGGTTTATTATTCAATTTAACTATAATTATACCCCCTCCCCCCTCAAACAAACTTCATGGGATATAAATGTGCCATCCTGGGGACAGTTCTGGTTTATTATTCAATTCAACTATAATTATACCCCCTCCCCCCTCAAACAAACTTTGTGGGATATAAATGTGCCATCCTGGGGACAGTTCTGGTTTATTATTCAATTTAACTATAATTATACCCCCTCCCCCCTCAAACAAACTTTGTGGGATATAAATGTGCCATCCTGGGCACAGCTCTGGTTTTAGCGTGTTTTCTGTGTGACTTCTAGGCCAGCATCTGAATGTTTTTAACGTTGTGTATTTGGCATGTTATACTGTATATCTTAGCATGTCTTTTACTCTGTTTTCCAATACATGCTATGTTGTCATTTCTTATATCAAAGTTACAACAACACATTTCATTCATTAAAATAAATTGTAATAAGGACACGTATAGAAAGTGAAAAGCTGTAATTAAGTTCTCATTTGTTCACACAGTTTCCCCCGCACTCACACCCGCCGCTTATCTGCCTCGTAGAGAGATCACATTTCCAGCTTTAATATGGAAATTTATCTTGTGCATTTAAAAAAAGTTAATACCTATCAAGTCTTTAACAGATACATGTATATGTATTAAAGAAATTTGTTATAAAAAAAAAACAATATCATGTTGTGATGCAATTATGTGAAATATGATCTGTTTCAAAAGTTTATTTCGTTGTTGCATTTTCTGTAATAATGGTTGTCAAATTTAATGTTTGAGAAATTCATAAACATCAGATGTAATCAGATTGTAATAGAAGTGGAATATAATGTTACTGAAGTTCATAGTCATGGGTCAATATTAGTTTTTGTTTTTAAGCTAATTTATTCCTACGTTTTGTTTCAATTAATAATAGGTTGACATTTTTGCTGCAAAAATCGAGTTATTCCCCCTTGGTTACTATCGATCTCACTACAAACCGTTGACAGTGACACCAGGCATGGAAGATGTGGGTTCTGGTGTCGAGTTATCCCCCCTTGGTTACTATCGATCTCACTACAAACCGCTGACAGTGACACCAGGCGTGGAAGATGGGGGTTCTAGTGTCGAGTTATTCCCCCTTGGTTCCTATCCATCTCACTACAAACTGTTGACAGTGACACCAGGCATGGAAGATGGGGGTTCTGGTGTCGAGTTATTCCCCCTTAGTTACAATCCATCTCACTACAAACCGTTGACAGTGACACCAGGCATGGAAGATGGGGGTTCTGGTGTCGAGTTATTCCCCCTTGGTTACTATCCATCTCACTACAAACTGTTGACAGTGACACCAGGCATGGAAGATGGGGGTTCTGGTGTCGAGTTATTCCCCCTTGGTTACTATCCATCTCACTACAAACCGTTGACAGTGACACCAGGCATGGAAGATGGGGGTTCTGGTGTCGAGTTATTCCCCCTTGGTTACTATCCATCTCACTACAAACCGTTGACAGTGACACCAGGCATGGAAGATGGGGGTTCTGGTGTCGAGTTATTCCCCCTTGGTTACTATCGATCTCACTACAAACCGTTGACAGTGACACCAGGCATGGAAGATGGGGGTTCTGGTGTCGAGTTATTCCCCCTTGGTTACTATCCATCTCACTACAAACTGTTGACAGTGACACCCGGCATGGAAGATGGGGGTTCTGGTGTCGAGTTATTCCCCCTTGGCTACTATCCATCTCAGTACAAACCGTTGACATTGACACCAGGCATGGAAGATGGGAGTTCTGGTGTTGAGTTATTCCCCCTTGGTTACTATCGATCTCACTACAAACCGTTGACAGTGACACCAGGCATGGAAGATAGGGGTTCTGGTGTTGAGTTATTCCCCCTTGGTTCCTATCGATCTCACTACAAACCGTTGACAGTGACAACAGGCATGGAAGATGGGGGTTCTGGTGTCGGGTTGTTCCCCCTTGGTTACTATCGATCTCACTACAAACCGTTGACAGCGACACCAGGCATGGAAGATGGGGGTTCTGGTGTTGAGTTATTCCCCCTTGGTTCCTATCGATCTCACTACAAACCGTTGACAGTGACAACAGGCATGGAAGATGGGGGTTCTGGTGTCGGGTTGTTCCCCCTTGGTTACTATCGATCTCACTACAAACCGTGGATAGTGACACCAGGCATGGAAGATAGGGGTTCTGGTGTTGAGTTATTCCCCCTTGGTTCCTATCGATCTCACTACAAACCGTTGACAGTGACACCAGGCATGGAAGATAGGGGTTCTGCTGTTTGTTTGCAATTATATTATAAATAAAAATAGTAAAGTCTGGTGGTTTTGCTCTTAACTTGTAATCAAATGAGAACAACTCCGTTTTTGCAGAAAGATGTAAATCAAAAAATATTTTCTGTTTTGCAGTAAAATTGTAATCAAAGAGGACATTTTTTTCAATAAGTTTGTATGATTTATGATGTCGGTAATAAGAAAAAAAAATAACCTTAAATGATGATTGGAATGAGGAGAAATTTGATGATCTTTTGTATCAAGATTTACAGAAACCAAGAAAAACTAAGTCTGTTTTTGAAGAAAAAAGATAACTTTATTATTGATTTTAACAAAAAAGTAGAATATCTATATTTTACAGGATGAGTGTGGTCAAGGAATTATGTATTTATAACTGATGATAATTTCTCTTACAGCTGATTGTTAAGATCCCGACCATTGTAGTGAAGCTTGAGGGAGGGGTAGGAAACAGGACGGTCCCCCTCCTCATCCTTGAGTCCTCCTTCTCCGGTGAGGTCAAGGACTGGAGTGGTAAGGTAAGTCCCCTCCTCATCCTCGAGTCCATCTTCTCTGGTGAGGTCAAGGACTGGAGTAGTAAGGTTAGTCCCCTCCTCATCCTCGAGTCCTCATTCTCTGGTGAGGTCAAGGACTGGAGTGGTAAGGTAAGTCCCCTCCTCATCCTTGAGTCCTCATTCTCCGGTGAGGTCAAGGACTGGAGTAGTAAGGTAAGTCCCCTCCTCATCCTCGAGTCCTGACCTTCTCTGGTGAGGTCAAGGACTGGAGTAGTAAGGTTAGTCCCCTCCTCATCCTCGAGTCCTCATTCTCTGGTGAGGACAAGGACTGGAGTGGTAAGGTAAGCCCCCTCCTCATCCTTGAGTCCTCATTCTCCGGTGAGGTCAAGGACTGGAGTAGTAAGGTAAGTCACCCCCTCATCCTTGAGTCCTGACCTTCTCTGGGGAGGTCAAGGACTGGAGTAGTAAGGTAAGTCCCCTCCTCATACTCGAGTCCTGACCTTCTCTGGTGAGGTCAAGGACTGGAGTGGTAAGGGAAGTCCCCTCCTCATCCTTGAGTCCTGACCTTCTCCGGTGAGGTCAAGGACTGGAGTGGTCAGATAAGTCCCCTCTTCATCCTCGAGTCCTCATTCTCTGGTGAGGTCAAGGACTGGAGTGGTAAGGTAAGTCCCCTCCTCATCCTCGAGTCCTCATTCTCCAGTGAGGTCAAGGACTGGAGTGGTAAGATAAGTCCCCTCCTCATCCTCGAGTCCTCCTTCTCTGGTGAGGTCAAGGACTGGAGTGGTAAGGTAAGTCACCCCCTCATCCTCGAGTCCTCCTTCTCTGGTGAGGTCAAAGACTGGAGTGGTAAGGTAAGTCCCCTCCTCATCCTTGAGTCCTCATTCTCTGGTGAGGTCAAGGACTGGAGTAGTAAGGTAAGTCCCCTCCTCATCCTCGAGTCCTCCTTCTGTGGTGAGGTCAAGGACTGGCGTACTAAGGTAAGTCCCCTCCTCGTCCTTGAGTCCTCATTCTCTGGGGAGGTCAAAGACTGGAGCGGTAAGGTAAGTCCCCTCATCATCCTTGAGTCCTCATCCTCTGTGAGGTCAAGGACTGGGGTGGTAAGGTAAGTCCCCCCCTCATCCTTGAGTCCTGACCTTCTCTGGTGAGGTCAAGGACTGGAGTGGTCAGATAAGTCCCCTCTTCATCCTCGAGTCCTCCTTCTCTGGTGAGGTCAAGGACTGGAGTGGTCAGATAAGCAATACAGGGTTTTAGGGGTGATGTTGGTGTGTTAGGGGAATTAAAGTTTTAAAAAAAAGGTATTTTACAGCAACTACGAAACAAGTTATTTCACCTTATATTAATCACTCTTGTTGACCCAGATGTTAGCATGATGGGAGGTCTCTTAAACGTGCACATCATTCTCTGAACAATAATCTGATAAAGAGTGCTGCTCTGTGATGACCTTTGTGTAGCCTGTAAAGATTGGTTTGAGATCTGATATTCTTTTGACATTTGTTGATCTCCGATGTTTGCTTGAGCATCAACATTTATATGACCTCTGACATTTGTATTGACCTCTGATATTTTCTATTGGTCTCTGATCTTTGTACTGACCTCTGACATTTATCAGACTTCTGAAATTTATTTGTTTGACTTCTGACATTTGTACTGAATACTCTTCTGACATTTGTACTGACCACTGACATTTGAATGACCTCTGACACTGCAATTGATCTCTGATATTTTCCATTGGTTATTGACATATGTATGGACCTCTGATATTTGTATTAACCTCTGACAATTGTATTGACCTCTGACATTTATTTGACTTCTGACATTTGTACTGACCACTGACATTTGAATGACCTCTGACACTGCATTTGATCTCTGATATTTGTTTGACCTGTGGCACTTTGCTTTATTTCTAGTTGGGTGTAGAGAGTACCCTGAAGCTAGAAGTCGCCTACTACAACGAAAAGCTGACCGTGTGGGAACCGCTGGTGGAGCCCATTCTGGAGAATAGTAAACTCAGGAGGTGGGAACTGGGACTAGAGGTAAGGGCAGACAACTCCAGTACGGTATTCAGAGGGGGTGGGAACTGGGACTAGAAGTAAGGGCAGACAACTCCAGTACGGTATTCAGAGGGGGTGGGAACTTTAACCTGAGTAAAGGGAGATAACTGTTTATCAAATTTAGAAGTAATGACAGATCTATTTTTATACTGGTCATTACTGAAGGACAAGGGCATTATTATATAATTGTAGACAAGTCTTGATGCAAGGACACTTAGGACAGATAACTGCAGAAAAATATGAGTAGAGAGATGACTGTTGGTCAAACCTGTTCAGTTATAATGATAATGGTCAGGGAAGACTGAGTTAACAGAAGATAACTAGTGTCTCCAAACCTTACTTTAACGCCAGCAGTTTTTTTAAACAACATTTCAAATATTTCATTAATAAGTTAGTTTAAGTATAAATTTTGGGGTTATCATTTTCAAATGTAGATATATTTTTGAAGATATTTCCAAAGACTTGAGTTTAACCTGTGAATTGTCTGTCTGCTAGGTAACAATGAACGAGGATCTGCCTGTGATAGCTGATGATGAAGTTGATGGGGAGTTGGACAACATTGTCCTGCCTCCTGCAAAGATGTCCATCAACATTAGATCAACTGATTCCCTGCAGCTGGTCGTGTCTAAAACATGTCTGGAGGTGTTAAACAACCTGGGCAAGGTAAGGGGCTTATATATCATGTACACCTTTACCTGGGAAAGGTAAGGGGCTTATATATCATGTACGCCTTTACCTGGGCAAGGTAAGGGGCTTATATAATCATGTACACCTTTACCTGGGCAAGGTAAGGGGCTTATATATCATGTACACCTTTACTTGGGCAGGGTAAGGGGCTTATATAATCATGTACACCTTTACCTGGGCAAGGTAAGGGACTTATATATCATGTACACCTTTACCTGGGCAAGGTAAGGGGCTTATGTAATCATGTACGCCTTTACCTGGTCAAGGTAAGGGGCTTATATAATCATTTACACCTTTACCAAGGCAAGGTAAGGGGCTTATATAATCATGTACACCTTTACCTGGGCAAGGTAAGGGGCTTATATAATCATGCACACCTTTACCTGGTCAAGGTAAGGGACTTATATATCATGTACACCTTTACCTGAGCAAGGTAAGGGGATTATATAATCATGTACACCTTTACCTGGACAAGGTTAGGGACTTATATATCATGTACACCTTTACCTGGGCAAGGTAAGGGGCTTATATATCATGTTCACCTTTACCTGGGCAAGGTAAGGGGCTTATATATCATGTACACCTTTACCTGGGCAAGGTAAGGGGCTTATAATATCATGTACACCTTTACCTGGTCAAGGTAAGGGGCTTAAATATCATGTACACCTTTACCTGGTCAAGGTAAGGGGCTTATATATCATGTACACCTTTACCTGGTCAAGGTAAGGGGCTTAAATATCATGTACACCTTTACCTGGTCAAGGTAAGGGGCTTATATATCATGTACACCTTAACCTGGTCAAGGTAAGGGGCTTATGTAATCATGTACGCCTTTACCTGGTCAAGGTAAGGGGCTTATATATCATGTTCCCCTTTACCTGGGCAAGGTAAGGGGCTTATATATCATGTTCACCTTTACCTGGGCAAGGGAAGGGGCTTATATATCATGTACACCTTAACCTGGTCAAGGTAAGGGGCTTATGTAATCATGTACGCCTTTACCTGGTCAAGGTAAGGGGCTTATATATCATGTTCCCCTTTACCTGGTCAAGGTAAGGGGCTTATATATCATGTTCCCCTTTACCTGGGCAAGGTAAGGGGCTTATATATCATGTACACCTTGACCTGGTCAAGGTAAGGGGCTTATATATCATGTCCACCTTTACCTGGTCAAGGTAAGGGGCTTAAATATCATGTACACCTTTACCTGGTCAAGGTAAGGTCCTTGAATATCATGTACACCTTTACCTGGTCAAGGTGAGGGGCTTATATATCATGTACACCTTTACCTGGTTAAGTAAGGGGCTTATATAATCATGTACACCTTTACCTGGGCAAATACAGGACTTATATATCCTGTACACCTTTACCTGGTCAAGGTAAGGGGCTTATAAATCATGTACACCTTTACCTGGTCAAGGTAAGGGCCTTGAATATCATGTACGCCTTTATCTGGTCAAGCTAAGGGGCTTATATATCATGTACACCTTTACCTGGTTAAGTAAGGGGCTTATATAATCATGTACACCTTTACCTGGGCAAGGTAAGGGGCTTATGTAATCATGTACGCCTTTACCTGGTCAAGGTAAGGGGCTTATATATCATGTACAGCTGAACCTGGTCAAGGTAAGGGGCTTATGTAATCATGTTCGCCTTTACCTGGTCAAGGTAAGGGGCTTATATATCATGTTCCCCTTTACCTGGGCAAGGTAAGGGGCTTATATATCATGTACACCTTGACCTGGTCAAGGTAAGGGGCTTATATATCATGTACACCTTTGCCTGGTCAAGGTAAGGGGCTTATATATCATGTTCACCTTTACCTGGGCAAGGTAAGGGGCTTATATATCATGTTCCCCTTTACCTGGGCAAGGTAAGGGGCTTATATATCATGTTCACCTTTACCTGGGCAAGGTAAGGGGCTTATATATCATGTACACCTTGACCTGGTCAAGGTAAGGGGCTTATATATCATGTACACCTTGACCTGGTCAAGGTAAGGGGCTTATATATCATGTACACCTTTGCCTGGTCAAGGTAAGGGGCTTATATATCATGTTCCCCTTTACCTGGGCAAGGTAAGGGGCTTATATATCATGTACACCTTTGCCTGGTCAAGGTAAGGGGCTTATATATCATGTTCACCTTTACCTGGGCAAGGTAAGGGGCTTATATATCATGTTCCCCTTTACCTGGTCAAGGTAAGGGGCTTATATATCATGTCCACCTTTACCTGGTCAAGGTAAGGGGCTTAAATAGCATGTACACCTTTACCTGGTCAAGGTAGGGGGCTTATATATCATGTACACCTTTACCTGGTCAAGGTAAGGGCCTTGAATATCATGTACACCTTTACCTGGTCAAGGTAAGGGGCTTAAATATCATGTACACCTTTACCTGGTCAAGGTAAGGGGCTTATATATCATGTTCACCTTTACCTGGTCAAGGTAAGGGGCTTATATATCATGTACACCTTGACCTGGGCAAGTAAGGGGCTTATATAATCATAATTTTTTTTTTTTTAAATCCTGATTTTTTTTACAAAATACCAAGTATTGTTATGACTAGTCGTTTGGTGAAGCGTACCAGCTGGTGGAGCCGACAGAGAAGGCTGGAGTTATCATGTCTCCTTACGTCATCAAAAACAAAACTGGCATCCCAATGGTCATGAAGCTGGACAACTCCTTTGAGGTATGATGTTATCTCCCTTTGGGAAGTTTCCTTAATATTGTCCTGAAGGAATATTACTCTATATTATGAAACTGTAAATTTATTAGTCACAATTTTTATGACTTTTTTGGAACATACAATATTAAAACTTGATTCTGAGTTATAAATCATCTACATTGTGGAAAAATATGGTTACCAAGATCTCCTAAAGAAAGAAAAATGACGGCAATGGATATTGAAATTTTCATAGTTATGTGTACATTTTAAGAATTAGAAATACAATAAGTTAAATGATGGCCTGAATGTGATATAGCTTAATTAGTTTACAGACTATCAGATTTTGTTCACCAAAACTATGACCACTATTGTGTTATCTGAAACAGCAAAATATTTCCTGCATTGACATGAGTTTTCCCCGCTTCTATATAACTTGTCTACCCTTTTGACAAAGTTGTTTGCAATGAATTAGTTTTATGAGCTGGCTTCTGTATCTTCCCTGTCCTACAAATGATATCACATGGGATGCACAGTGTCTGCTCAATATCTTGAGTAATATTTGTAATGGATTAACTTTTTAAAGTAAGGTTTTGTACCATAAAAGCTTACATAAGTTTGATAACCACCATAATATGACGTTAATTTACAGAGTTATGGCCCTTAATAATCTGACCATAATTTACCGAGTTAAGGCCCTTATTAATCTGACTGTAATTTACCGAGTTATGGCCCTTAATAATCTGTCCATAATTTACAGAGTTATGGCCCTGAATAATCTGACCATAATTTACAGAGTTATGGCCCTTTATTTCATGTGCATTATTTCAACTAAAGCTAAGTCAAATGCAGTATGTTTATCCTTTCACTCCATCATTTCCATATTTTCACACAATATGCATCAGACAGATTTGAAGTATGTCAGTTTGGGTTAGGGCACATATATATTGTTCCCCATGAGGTACTCTTTGATTTGAATTATCTTCCTTGACAGATGCCAGAGGATGCGTCCAATATGAAGGTTAAATTGTCTCCAACTCGCCAGCTCAACTTATTTACAAAGAAGAAGAGTGTATTGATTAGAAAGGCTTCTGTAATCAAGGCCACACAGGAGGGTGACGAGAAAAAACTCATCTTCCAGGTAAGACACTCCCCAGAACCATTAATTTGTTTGTGAGAGGAGAAGCAATTTAATGTTAATTTGGTAAATTTAAAATTACAACATTTAGCACACTGTATGTTTTCAAATTTTGAATTTTAAATAAAACTTTATTGTTTTGAATGGGGCTGTGAGGAAGGGAGTAGGAACATTAAGCAGCTTTAATAGGATATAAGGATCAGCCTCTGTAGTGATTCTCTATTTTTAATGAAAATTACCAATGACAACTGATGTTGTTGTGTAGATGGAGCAGTACAATGCCACAAGGGAGGTAACCATTAAACGTGCAGAGAAGCGACTCTACCAGATCAACAACAGGACCAGTGCTAACGAGGTGTGGGCCGTCGTAGTGTGTACCGACTGCCACATTGGTCAGAGAGTTGTCTCCCTTAGATCCATTGTACAGGTATGATCAGTTCTGAAATTAACAGTTGTACTAGGAAAAAAACATCCTGAGAACCATCTTCTTTAGTCTGCTATAATACTTTCAAAGTAAAGAACCACCTTCTTTAGTCTGCTATAATCCTTTCCATGTAAAGAACCTCCTTACTTGTTAAGAATCACCTGCTTTAGTCTGCTATAATCCTTTCAAAGTAAAGAACCGCCTTACTTGTTACGAACCACCTTCTTTAGTCTGCTATAATACTTTCAAAGTAAAGAACCTCCTTACTTGTTAAGAACCGCCTTCTTTAGTCTGCTATAATACTTTCACAGTAAAAGATCACCTTACATGTTAAGAACCAACTTCTTTAGTCTGCTATAATACTTTCACAGTAAAAGACCACCTTACATGTTAAGAACCACTTCTTTAGTCTGCTATAATACTTTCTATGTAAAGAACCACCTTCTTTAGTCTGCTATAATACTTTCAATGTAAAGAACCACCTTCTTTAGTCTCTGAGAACCATCTTCTTTAGTCTGCTATAAAACTTTCTATGTAAAGAACCACATTCTTTAGTCTGCTATAATGCTTTCAAAGTAAAGGACCACCTTCTTTAGTCTGCCAAAATCCTCTCACAGTAAAAGACCACCTTACATGTTAAGACCCACCTTCTTTAGTCTGCCAAAATCCTCTCACAGTAAAAGACCACCTTACATGTTAAGAACCACCTTCTTTAGTCTGCCAAAATCCTTTCACAGTAAAAGACCACCTTACATGTTAAGAACCACCTTCTTTAGTCTGCTATAATACTTTCAAAGTAAAGAACCACCTTCTTTAGTCTGCTATAATACATTCACAGTAAAGGACCACATAACATGTTTAGAACCACCTTCTTTATTCTGCTATAATACTTTCAAAGTAATGAACCACTTTCTTTAGTCTGCTATAATACTTTCAAAGTAAAGAACCACCTTTTTTAGTCTGCTATAATACATTCACAGTAAAGAACCACCTTCTTTAGTCTGCTATAATACTTTCAAAGTAAAGAACCACCTTCTTTAGTCTGCTATAATACTTTCAAAGTAAAGAACCACCTTCTTTAGTCTGCTATAATACTTTCAAAGTAAAGAACCACCTTCTTTAGTCTGCTATAATACTTTCAAAGTAAAGAACCACCTTCTTTAGTCTGCTATAATACTTTCAAAGTAAAGAACCACCTTCTTTAGTCTGCTATAATACTTTCAAAGTAAAGAACCACCTTCTTTAGTCTGCTATAATACTTTCAAAGTAAAGAACCACCTTCTTTAGTCTGCTATAATACTTTCAAAGTAAAGAACCACCTTCTTTAGTCTGCTATGATACTTTCAAAGTAAAGAACTTCCTCACTTATTAAGAACCACCTTCTTTAGTCTGCTATAATACTTTCAAAGTAAAGTATCACCTTCTTTAGTCTGCTATAATCCTTTCAAAGTAAAAAATCACCTTCTTTAGTCTGCCATAGTACTTTCAAAGTAAAGAACCACCTTCTTTAGTCTGCTATGATACTTTCAATGTAAAGAACCACCTTCTTTAGTCTGCTATAATACTTTCAAAGTAAAGAACTTCCTTACTTGTTAAGAACCACCTTCTTTAGTCTGCTATAATACTTTCAAAGTAAAGGACCACCTTCTTTAGTCTGCTATAATACTTTCAAAGTAAAGAACCACCTTTTTTAGTCTACTATAATACATTCACAGTAAAGAACCACCTTCTTTAGTCTGCTATAATACTTTCAAAGTAAAGAACCACCTTCTTTAGTCTGCTATAATACTTTCAAAGTAAAGAACCACCTTCTTTAGTCTGCTATAATACATTCACAATAAAGGACCACCTTACATGTTTAGAACCACCTTCTTTAGTCTGCTATAATACTTTCAATGTAAAGAACCACCTTCTTTAGTCTGCTATAATACTTTCAAAGTAAAGAACCACATTCTTTAGTCTGCTATGATACTTTCAAAGTAAAGAACCACCTTCTTTAGTCTGCTATAATACATTCACAATGAAGGACCACCTTACATGTTAAGAATTACCTTCTTTAGTCTGCTATAATACATTCACAATAAAGGACCACCTTACATGTTTAGAACCACCTTCTTTAGTCTGCTATAATACTTTCAAAGTAAAGAACCACCTTCTTTAGTCTGCTATAATACTTTCAAAGTAAAGAACAACCTTCTTTAGTCTGCTATGATACTTTCAAAGTAAAGGACCACCCTCTTTAGTCTGCTATAATACTGTCAAAGTAAAGAACCACCTTCTTTAGTCTGCTATGATACTTTCAAAGTAAAGAACCACCTTACTTGTTAAGAACCACCTTCTTAAGTCTGCTATAATACATTCACAGTAAAGAACCACCTTCTTTAGTCTGCTATAATACTTTCAAAGTAAAGAACCACCTTCTTTAGTCTGCTATGATACTTTCAAAGTAGAGAACCACCTTTTTTAGTCTGCTATAATACTTTCAAAGTAGAGAACCACCTTTTTTAGTCTGCTATAATACATTCACAGTAAAGGACCACCTTACTTGTTAAGAACCACCTCCTTTAGTCTGCTATAATACATTCAAAGTAAAAGACCACCTTACATGTTAAGAACCACCTTCTTTAGTCTGCTATAATACATTCACAGTAAAGGACCACCTTACATGTTAAGAACCATCTCCTTTAGTCTGCTATAATACATTCACAGTAAAGAACCACCTTCTATAGTCTGCTATAATACTTTCAAAGTAGAGAACCACCTTTTTTAGTCTGCTATAATACTTTCAAAGTAGAGAACCACCTTTTTTAGTCTGCTATAATACTTTCACAGTAAAGGACCACCTTACATGTTTAGAACCACCTTCTTTAATCTGCTATATTACTTTCAAAGTAAAGAACCACCTTCTTTAGTCTGCTATAATACTTTCAAAGTCAAGAATCACCCGCTCAAGTCTGCTATAATACATTCACAGTAAAGTACCACCTTACATGTTAAGAACCATTTTCTTAGACTGTTGTAATACTTTCATGTTAAAAATCACTTTCCTTAGGCTGCTATAATACATTCACAGTAAAGTACCACCTTACATGTTAAGAACCATTTCCTTAGGCTGCTATAATACTTTTATGTTAAGAACCATTTCCTTAGACTGTTGTAATACTTTTATGTTAAGAATCACTTTCCTTAGACTGTTGTAATACTTTTATGTTAAGAATCACTTTCCTTAGGCTGCTATAATACTTTCAAAGTAAAGGACCACCATGTAAAGAACAACTTCCTTCGACTGTTATTATACTTGCAGGCTAAGAACCACTTGCCTCAGACAGTTGAGGTGTTTTACCGTGAAGGCTCCAGGATTTCATCGTGTGGTTTGGTACTGGCTGAGGAGACGATGGACATTCCACTCCACACAATATACACAGAAACAGGAGAGTTCTTCTTCAAACCCGTGTCAGAAACTGACGAGTAAGTGGCTTTTAGTCTGTGTTTTGTGAAAATCATGATATAAAATGCTGCAAACAACAATAACAGACAGAAAAGTGTCGTAGTTGTTCATGTTTCTGATCCCACCTGAGTGGGTTTTCTCAGTTGTCAGTTTATACTTAATGTCATTGATACTGTAGGTACCGGGTGTCTAAGGAGTCTTAGTTTATACTTAATGTCATTGATACTGTAGGTACCGGGTGTCTAAGGAGTCTGTGGTCAGTTTATACTTAATGTCATTGATACTGAAGGCACTGGGTGTCTAAGGAATCTGTGGTCAGTTTATACTTAATGTCATTGATACTGAAGGTACCAGGTGTCCAAGGAGTCTGTGGTCAGTTTATACTTAATGTCATTGATACTGTAGGTACTGGGTGTCTAAAGGAGTCTTAGTTTATACTTAATGTCATTGATACTGAAGGTACCAGGTGTCCAAGGAGTCTGTGGTCAGTTTATACTTAATGTCATTGATACTGTAGGGACTGGGTGTCTAAAGGAGTCTTAGTTTATACTTAATGTCATTGATACTGTAGGTACCGGGTGTCCAAGGAGTCTGTGGGATGGCGGTCAGCGGCCAATCTTGGTACTAAACAGCTGAGCTGTGAGGGACAGCAGGGTCACAGCCCTTTCTACATGAATGTAAGTTTACCCATCGTGATTGTACCTACCTGGTAAATAACGTCGTCATAATTTAACATACATAAAATCCATTCTGAACATAAGATTCTTCAATCTGAACACTTGTTTCTTTTTCTTAAACATTAACTTCTTTTTCACAAATATTATACTTTCTTTCATGATGAATGTTTGTTTTTTCATCAGAAACATCAGTATCTTATCATAAAAGTGGTTTCTGTGATATAGTTTTAGTTTTCAAAAGACAGAAACATTGAAGCTGATAAAGAAATAAATTAACCTTTTTCATTTCTGACCAGGTGTGGGCAGAGTGTGAACAGATTTACTACGAGGAAAGTGACTCCTTGACGGCCAAATCCTACACCCTACACTTGTGTCCGACCGTTATACTACACAATCTGCTGCCCTTCCCTATCAAATTTATGTTGGAGGTCAGTATAACAACTGATACAGTGTGTACATCGAGTTGGACATCTCAATAAATCAGTGCTTGAAAGTGTGGAATTGGCATTATGCTGAGATGCTGTCAAGGTCTTATTGGTTAGCCCTTAGGCTGCTACGCACCACAATAGTGGTTTCGATAAGTCGGGCCGTCAGTGCTGCTCACGGTAATTGTGGCCTTCGGTCTGTAGGTTTTTGATCAGTAAACAGGAAGTGTGAAAGCGTATTGTAGAAGGCTTCTGATTGGTTGTTTAGTCATTACTTTCAATATTTCCGGCAATGTACCCTAGTAATAACCGAAGGTGTGCGAGAGAAATCGGAAAAAACGTCATAAAAATGGCGGACGAGTAGATTGAAGTGATGAATATGATGGTAAACATTTATTATCCAGCATCACCTACGATGATAATAAAGGTTTTGAAGGGTTTGACATGGTTGATGTGGAAATACTTCGGTGTACCATAATATGTAACTTTCCAATGAACGGCTTTTTGCCCTACGCAAACATGAAAATATCGGCGGACCAAGGCCCACATGTCGTCTGCAGGTGAGGCCGAATTGAACATTGACATTTATACGTTTTGAGCCGATTGATTTCTTCAAACTATATATCGATGATTTAATCATAAACTAGACCGTAGCTAAGATATATCTATATGCCGACTGTGACAGTAAATATATTGAATGACGACCTGATACCTGTAGCAAAGTGCATGCAATTCTTGATGAAATACCTGACCTTTTTACCTGAGAATCTCCGTGTAAATGTACAGCGTCTTATGTCAAAAATGCTAAATGTTATGTCTGTTATCATTTGCCAATCACATTTGTTGACAAAATTAATTTTAAAATGATTTTTCTGGTGCTTAAATCCGATCAATTAAAAGTTTCACCTTTTCTTACCTTTATTTCCACCTTAACAGGTAAATACTGAAGCAACTTTAGAATTAGAATAAGGAACAATTTTTATGTAACTTTTATTCACATATAACAAATATTTTTCAAGTTATGCACATTTGAAAAATTGAGTAAATTAAGTTATATTTCAATAATTAATTCAGCAGTGGTGTCCCTTTACATAGAAATCAATGTAGCAGCCTAAGGGGTAAAATGTTACAATCAAGGAGATTTCTGATCTTCATTCTCAAAAACTCACTTGTTATATATGTTTCCAGGGGACTGATGGCTATACAACCCTCGACCAGGGAGGCAACCTACCACTGACCAACGCTGGAGTGGGCAAGTCCAACCTAGAAATCATGGTAAGTGAGCAGTCTGTTCTACCTCTCAGGTATAAAGCCCCATGCTGTGTGAACTCTAACCCATTGTCTGATCAATTTACATTTTTGTTGTTTTATCAGCCATAGAGCTATGGTATCCTTCTGGTTAATAATTTACCATTAATTAAATCATTCACCCCTGAAGACAAATTTGAACTCTTCCAATTCAAAGGTTGGTATAGTTCATTTTGAAATTTCAGGGGTGAATGAGTTAAGTGTTCTGCGACAAGATCACTATATAAAACTTTGTCTCCATCTGTCCACTTGCCACTAATAAACATGAACTTTCAAAGCAAAATTGATTCTCAAAACACGAAAACATCTTACCCTTTCAACAAATTAACAGCAATTAAATTGAATTTTCTCTAACAACTTGATACTTCTACTTTAATTAAACTTTGGTCAAGCAGGGTCAGGACACTCCGAGTTGAAAAAGCTGGGTCTTTATAAGGAACAATGTAACAATAGGTCTTACACAGTAGGATTATATCTCCAATGCGTTTTTGTGAATTTAAGACATGGTCATATGATTTCTATTTATAGATTCCTAACTACATGGAGAAGGAGTGGTGTGGCCGTAACTTATTGAGGGTGGACATACCCGACCTTTCTCTGTGGTCCTTCAGCGCCTTCATAGGGGCTCAGAAAGTGGATATGGTAAGTATTAGAGGTCAAAGGTCATGCCAGGAACATTTCTGATCTGTCAGTATATTTGGTCCTTCAGCCTTTATATTTAGTTTGTGATGATTTTATCTAGGAAATTAAGGCTTTTTTTATTGCCTAAATGATGATTTACCCCTTAACTTATCACTGTCCTATATAGCTGTACATTTTGTTAGGGAGGGCACACAAACATACACATGGATGAACTGAGGACATTTGTTTTAGGGCGGGCACACAAACATACACATGGATGAACTGAAGACATTTGTGTTAGGGAGGGCACACAAACATACACATGGATGAACTGAGGACATTTGTTTTAGGGAGGGCACACAAACATACACATGGATGAACTGAGGACATATGTGTTAGGGAGGGCACACAAACATACACATGGATGAACTGAGGACATTGGTGTTAGCTATTGGCTTAACGTTCTAGTCGACACAACTTGTTGATGTCTGTAATCTATGTGATTGTTTTTGTATCATAACCCTAACCCTAACCCTAACCCTTGCCAGTTGATGTTTATTTCTACAGTTGATGTTATGGTTTATTTTTACAGGACCTCGGGTTCCACTGTAAGAAGAGCTCGGGCAGTATGGATTTGTCACTGTACAGCCCCTACTGGATGATCAACAAGACAGGCCAGCGCATGCTCTACAAGGTCTCGACATTTAACAACATGTCATGTCTTCCTTTATGTAGTCTCCCTACATTTAACCTTAAAAAACCGGAACATAATTTGAAAAATCAGCATCTCATTATTTGGATGTAATGTTAAAAATTCCCAGCTTGTTGAAAATATCTGATAAGTTTATGATAGGAAACAAGTGATTAACATTGGCTCAATGGTAATTACCTGAACAAGTCATGAGCTGGAGAGGAATCTCCCCACTGTGGCTCAATGGTAATTACCTGAACAAGTCATCAGCTAGAGAGGAATCTCCCCGCTGTGGCTCAATGGTAATTACCTAAACAAGTCATCAGCTAGAGAGGAATCTCCCCGCTGTGGTCTGAAGTCATCACAGTTATACTTGTGAGACCCAATTCACACTTGAGGCTTAAGTCATACTTTGAGGCGTAAGTCACACACATTAACTTGAAGTCACACATGTGAGGCGTAAGTCACACACATAAACTTGAAATCACACTTGAGGCTTAAGTCAAACACATAAACTTGAAGTCACACTTGAGGCTTAAGTCAAACACATAAACTTGAAGTCACACCTGAGGCATAAGTCACACACATAAACTTGAAGTCACACCTGAGGCTTAAGTCACACACATAAACTTGAAGTCACACTTGAGGCTTAAGTCACACACATTAACTTGAAGTCACACATAGGAGGCTTAAGTCACACACATTAACTTGAAGTCACACACATTTACTTGAAGTCACACATATGAGGCTTAAGTCACACACATTTCCTTGAAGTCACACTTGAGGCTTACGTCGCACATTAACTTGAAGTCACACATGTGAGGCATAAGTCATACACATAAACTTGAAATCACACTTGAGGCTTAAGTCAAACACATAATCTTGAAGTCACACTTGAGGCTTAAGTCAAACACATAAACTTGAAGTCACACCTGAGGCGTAAGTCACACACATAAACCTGAAGTGACACCTGAGGCTTAAGTTACACACATACACTTTAAGTCACACCTGAGGCTTAAGTCACACACATTAACTTGAAGTCACAAATATGAGGCTTAAGCCACACACATTAACTTGAAGTCATACATAGGAGGCTTAAGTCACACACATTAACTTCAAGTCACACATGTGAGGCATAAGTTACACACATTAACTTGAATTCATACTTTGAGGCTTAAGCCACACATTAACTTGAAGTCACACATATGAGGCTAAAGTCACACACATTAACTTGAAGTCACAAATATGAGGCTTAAGTCACACACATTAACTTGAAGTCACACATAGGAGGCTTAAGTCACACACATTAACTTGAAGTCACACATATGAGGCTTAAGTCACACATTAACTTGAAGTCACACATATGAGGCTAAATTCACACACATTAACTTGAAGTCACAAATATGAGGCTTAAGTCACACATTAACTTGAAGTCACACATATGAGGCTTAAGTCACACACATTTACTTGAAGTCACACCTGAGGCTTAAGTCACACACATAAACTTGAAGTCACACCTGAGGCTTAAGTCACACACATTAACTTGAAGTCACACTTGAGGCTTAAGTCACACATTAACTTGAAGTCACACATGTGAGGCATAAGTCACACACATAAACTTGAAATCACACTTGAGGCTTAAGTCAAACACATAAACTTGAAGTCACACTTGAGGCTTAAGTCACACATTAACTTGAAGTCACACCTGAGGCGTAAGTCACACACATAAACCTGAAGTCACACCTGAGGCTTAAGTCACACACATTAACTTGAAGTCATACTTTGAGGCTTAAGTCACACATTAACTTGAAGTCACACATATGAGGCTTAAGTTACACACATTAATTTGAAGTCACATATATGAGGCTTAAGTCACAAATTAACTTGAAGTCACACATATGAGGCTAAAGTCACACACATTAACTTGAAGTCACACATATGAGGCTTAAGTCACACACATTAACTTGAAGTCACACATATGAGGCTTAAGTCACACACATTTACTTGAAGTCACACTTGAGGCTTAAGTCGCACATTAACTTGAAGTCACACATATGAAGCTTAAGTCACACACATAAACTTGAAATCACACTTGAGGCTTAAGTCACACAATAACTTGAAGTCACACATATGAGGCTTAAGTCACACACATTTACTTGAAGTCACACTTGAGGCTTAAGTCGCACATTAACTTGAAGTCACACATGTGAGGCGTAAGTCACACACATAAACTTGAAATCACACTTGAGGCTTAAGTCACACAATAACTTGAAGTCACACATATGAGGCTTAAGTCACACACATTAACTTGAAGTCACACATGTGAGGCTTAAGGCACACACATTAATTTGAAGTCACACATATGAGGCTTAAGTCACACATTAACTTGAAGTCACACATATGAGGCTTAAGTCACACACATTAACTTGAAGTCACACACATTTACTTGAAGTCACACATATGAGGCTTAAGTCACACACATTTACTTGAAGTCACACATATTAACTTGAAGTCACACTTGAGGCTTTAGGCCTGGGAGGCACTAGATCATAACATTAAAAAGTATTGTGGTCAGTCAGTTTTGTTCAGGTGGAAAGTCAAGGCTGTCTGTCTGGTGGAAAGTCATGGCTATCTGTCTGGTGGAAGGTCATGGCTATCTGTCAGGTGGAAAGTCATGGCTATATGTCAGGTGGAACGTCATGGCTATCTGTCAGGTGGAAAGTCATGGCTATCTGTCAGGTGGAAAGTCATGGCTATCTGTCAGGTGGAAAGTCATGGCTATCTGTCTGGTGGAAAGTCATGGCTATCTGTCAGGTGGAGAGTCATGGCTATCTATCAGGTGGAAAGTCATGGCTATCTGTCAGGTGGAGAGTCATGGCTATATGTCTGGTGGAAAGTCATGGCTATCTGTCTGGTGGAAAGTCATGACTATCTGTCAGTTGGAAAGTCATGACCAGCTGTCAGTTGGAAAGTCATGGCTATCTGTCTGGTGGAAAGTCATGGCTATCTGTCTGGTGGAAAGTCATGACTATCTGTCAGTTGGAAAGTCATGACCATCTGTCAGTTGGAAAGTCATGGCTATCTGTCTGGCGGAAAGTCATGGCTATCTGTCAGGTGGATAGTCATGGCTATCTGTCTGGTGGAAAGTAATGGCTATCTGTCAGGTGGAAAGTCATGGCTATATGTCAGGTGGAAAGGCATGGCTATCTGTCAGGTGGAAGGTCATGGCTATCTGTCAGGTGGAAAGGCATGGCTATCTGTCAGGTGGAAAGTCATGGCTATCTGTCAGGTGGATAGTAATGGCTATCTGCCTGGTGGAAAGTCATGGCTATCTGTCTGGTGGAAAGTCATGGCTATCTGTCTGGTGGAAAGTCATGGCTATCTGTCAGGTGGAAAGTCATGGCTATCTGTCAGGTGGAAAGTCATGGCTATCTGTTAGGTGGAAAGTCATGGCTATCTGTTTGGTGGAAAGTCATTGCTATCTGTCAGGTGGAAAGTCACGGCTATCTGTCAGGTGGAAAGTCATGGCTATCTGTTTGGTGGAAAGTCATGGCTATCTGTTTGGTGGAAAGTCATGGCTATCTGTCTGGTGGAAAGTCATGGCTATCTGTCTGGTGGAAAGTCATGGCTATCTGTCTGGTGGAAAGTCATGGCTATCTGTCAGGTGGAAACTCATGGCTATCTGGCAGTTGGAAAGTCATGGCTATCTGTCAGGTGGAAAGTCATGGCTATCTGTCAGGTGGAAAGTCATGACTATCTGTCAGGTGGAAAGTCATGGCTATCTGTCAGGTGGAAAGTCATGGCTATCTGTCAGGTGGAAAGTCATGGCTATCTGTCAGGTGGAAAGTCATGGCTATCTGTCAGGTGGAAAGTCATGGCTATCTGTCAGGTGGAAAGTCATGGCTATCTGTCAGGTGGAAAGTCATGGCTATCTGTCAGGTGGAAAGTCATGGCTATCTGTCAGGTGGAAAGTCATGGCTATCTGTCAGGTGGAAAGTCATGGCTATCTGTCAGGTGGAAAGTCATGGCTATCTGTCAGGTGGAAAGTCATGGCTATCTGTCAGGTGGAAAGTCATGGCTATCTGTCAGGTGGAAAGTCATGGCTATCTGTCAGGTGGAAAGTCATGGCTATCTGTCAGGTGGAAAGTCATGGCTATCTGTCTGGTGGAAAGTCATGGCTATCTGTCTGGTGGAAAGTCATGACTATCTGTCAGGTGGAAAGTCATGGCTATCTGTCAGGTGGAAAGTCATGGCTATCTGTCTGGTGGAAAGTCATGACTATCTGTCTGGTGGAAAGTCATGGCTATCTGTCTGGTAGAAAGTCATGGCTATCTGTCTGTATTAGAAATTTCATTGTTAAATTTAAGTTGTCACCTTTATGTTGCTGTTATATAAGGACCACAAATTGGGCTATTTATAATGAATAACATGTGAATGTAATGTACAACAAGATCATAAAGTTAACTTTTTGTTCTGTGTTCCTCAGGGTAGTGATTCTGAGGACGTGATAGAACATCACCATGACAACGAAGATGTAGTCCTATTTTCATTCAAGCAGAAGTCATTTTTCTCAGCAAAGAAAAAGGTATAGTTACTGTACAGTTTTCTGACCTCCCCATGTATTACATGTGACCATTGTCTGTACAGTTTTCTGACCTCCCCATGTATTACATGTGACCATTGTCTGTACAGTTTTCTGACATCCCCATGCATTACATGTGACCATTGTCTGTACAGATTTCTGACCTCCCCATGTATTACATGTGACCATTGTCTGTACAGTTTTCTGACCTCCCCATGTATTACATGTGACCATTGTCTGTACAGTTTTCTGACCTCCCCATGTATTACATGTGACCATTGTCTGTACAGTTTTCTGACCTCCCCATGTATTACATGTGACCATTGTCTGTACAGTTTTCTGACCTCCCCATGTATTACATGTGACCATTGTCTGTACAGTTTTCTGACCTCCCCATGTATTACATGTGACCATTGTCTGTACAGTTTTCTGACCTCCCCATGTATTACATGTGACCATTGTCTGTACAGTTTTCTGACCTCCCCATGTATTACATGTGACCATTGTCTGTACAGTTTTCTGACCTCCCCATGTATTACATGTGACCATTGTCTGTACAGTTTTCTGACCTCCCCATGTATTACATGTGACCATTGTCTGTACAGTTTTCTGACCTCCCCATGTATTACATGTGACCATTGTCTGTACAGTTTTCTGACCTCCCCATGTATTACATGTGACCATTGTCTGTACAGTTTTCTGACCTCCCCATGTATTACATGTGACCATTGTCTGTACAGTTTTCTGACCTCCCCATGTATTACATGTGACCATTGTCTGTACAGTTTTCTGACCTCCCCATGTATTACATGTGACCATTGTCTGTACAGTTTTCTGACCTCCCCATGTATTACATGTGACCATTGTCTGTACAGTTTTCTGACCTCCCCATGTATTACATGTGACCATTGTCTGTACAGTTTTCTGACCTCCCCATGTATTACATGTGACCATTGTCTGTACAGTTTTCTGACCTCCCCATGTATTACATGTGACCATTGTCTGTACAGTTTTCTGACCTCCCCATGTATTACATGTGACCATTGTCTGTACAGTTTTCTGACCTCCCCATGTATTACATGTGACCATTGTCTGTACAGTTTTCTGACCTCCCCATGTATTACATGTGACCATTGTCTGTACAGTTTTCTGACCTCCCCATGTATTACATGTGACCATTGTCTGTACAGTTTTCTGACCTCCCCATGTATTACATGTGACCATTGTCTGTACAGTTTTCTGACCTCCCCATGTATTACATGTGACCATTGTCTGTACAGTTTTCTGACCTCCCCATGTATTACATGTGACCATTGTCTGTACAGTTTTCTGACCTCCCCATGTATTACATGTGACCATTGTCTGTACAGTTTTCTGACCTCCCCATGTATTACATGTGACCATTGTCTGTACAGTTTTCTGACCTCCCCATGTATTACATGTGACCATTGTCTGTACAGTTTTCTGACCTCCCCATGTATTACATGTGACCATTGTCTGTACAGTTTTCTGACCTCCCCATGTATTACATGTGACCATTGTCTGTACAGTTTTCTGACCTCCCCATGTATTACATGTGACCATTGTCTGTACAGTTTTCTGACCTCCCCATGTATTACATGTGACCATTGTCTGTACAGTTTTCTGACCTCCCCATGTATTACATGTGACCATTGTCTGTACAGTTTTCTGACCTCCCCATGTATTACATGTGACCATTGTCTGTACAGTTTTCTGACATCCCCATGTATTACAGGTGACCATTGTCTGTACAGTTTTCTGACCTCCCCATGTATTACATGTGACCATTGGTTTTCTGACATCCCCATGTATTACAGGTGACCATTGTCTTTACCGCAGGTTAGAAAATATAGTTCCCATCACATCCTTAAAACACACACAAGAAAGTATACAAGACTTCTAGCTCAGGAATCATACTAAAATATGACGGCATGTGATTGTATAACCTATAATTTTATAGCTGTAGCATATGATTGTATATTGTATAACCTATCATTGTCTTAGTTCAGCCAAAATTACTCATATAAGATTCTTTAATATTTTCTTGGAAAATTCAAAACTCAATGGTTAATGTCAAGGTTATAGTGATTTCTAGCAATGTCTGGTATAATGAATTAAAAGAAACAGAAATGAGACTTAATTTTAGAAAAAAAGATTCACTTTCTCCTCAATAGTCAGTTGAGTATAGTTACAAATCAACATTATTAAATGTGTCTAAACATTGAACCAATCGTCTGTTATTGTCCAGACTTCTGTTTGCTGATTGGTTCTTTGTGAGGAGTAAGTCACCACTCATTATAGCCTGTGTTCTTCAAAGCCATCAACTTTTGTTTTCATTTTCAGAGACATCTTATATAAACTATTACGCTATTTGATTATTACATTCATCGGGAACTCATTTTGTTTCTATTTTTGCTATGAATGAAATGTTTTGAACTGCTGGTGGAAAGTGTGATATATATTTTTGAAATCTTTGATAATCTTGACACTGAGTAATATTTTGGAACTTATTCCCTGTTGTTTAAACCCATTTATTGTGAATGATGTAAAATGTTGAAATGTTAAAACTTATTCCTGAAATAAATATTATTGGAAAAAATACTATTTCATTAACATACTTACTTCCTCCAGAAAAATAAGCATACAGTAAAATCGGCTCTGGCCGAGCCAGCGTTTGTTGTTAGTACAACACTTACTCCAGAGGAGCTTCAGGATTATAGGATGGGGATGGAGTGGCAGGTAACAGGAGAGTGATCTCCCTTGTCTAGGCGAGCTAACTCTCACATATAAGGGGCAGTAACTCTTCTTTTATAGCCTGAAAATATTTCAGCTTTTGTGAGGCCATTTAAGTGAGAAACTTGCTATGCCTTTTAGTGAAACACTATTTTCTTTAAATGTTGATGTACAACCGATCACCCTGACGACAATTCCTGTACAGAATGATATCACAAATACAAGTAAAATCTGAAGTAATGTGCAGTAGCCCCATAGGGTGTAAGGTTGTATGTTAATTTTTGAAAATTTTATATTTAAATGCAGTTTAAACTGTGAAATTATAATTATTATTGTTATTTTTTGAAAACCCGATGAATTCCTATCCTGAGATTTAGTTTCTTCCCTTTCTTCAGATAGTGTTTTTAAAAATATTTAAAAACAAAAAAGTAAATATTTAGTATTTTTTCCATAGATTTTTTTTATTCTTAGTATATTTGTATAGGCTAAACTTTTCTTAATTTGCTGTTGTTTCATTTCCCCTGATATTCATTATTTTAAAATCTGCTTTCTTTTTTCTAGATTTTTAATTATTTAAATGAAAGCTACATAGTTTCATGTTCTATATATTCAAATCAGACTATTCAGTCTAGTTTCCTTAGGGACAAATTGTTCAAGCTTTGATTAGCTTTGTAGCATTTCATGTTTTACTTCAGACAGGAGCTAGTATGTGGGGGATTATTCATGTTTTGGTAGATACAGATGTTAAAATAATCTTAGATCAGATTGATACAAGAAAATATTGCAAATTCCTAACAGTGTCTATCATAGTTAGGTATGCAGGATTTTATCAAGGTTATAGAATTTTTATCCCACCCGTACCTAGTTTGAAATTAAGGAAAATGTTTTAAAATGTCCTTATATCTGATTCATTTGTCTCGGTACAGGTATGTTTGAAAGTTAACATAATGACAAGGAATTGCCCGGTTTTATCTGCTTAAATGGTCTCTGTCTCGCTAAGTTCTCACAGTTTGAATTGTGCTGCTATCCGTAACCATCTTTAATATTCATCACAATTCTTGGGTGTGTCAGTTTAAATAAGAATTACCTCCCCTACCGTTACATAATGGTTTGTTTCATCCTAATTGAGCATTACTAAACATTGGATTATCTCCCCTTCTATCATTCAAAAACTTATGGAAATTTTTGAACTTTGATTTATCTTTTGATGGATTTTAGTAACTGTCTTCAGATGTCAATTAAAAACTTCAAAATGTGCCAGGATAACGCATTTATGTATTGTCTTTAAAGCAAAAACAAAACATGGTGGTGTGTCACCTCTTAAGAAGTTTCAGAGTGGTTCCCCCTTACCAGTCACTGATCTAACTTGAATTAATTTGTCTAATTCATATAAATATGCATGTGTTTGAAAAAGTTCTAATCACTGTTAGTATCACTATGCTAAATGATGACATATACATCACCCTGTACATTTTGCCATGGTAATTAGCTGCTGGCAGTGTAATTCTGCTTAGAGCAGTTATTTGTGATATACCAGTCTCATTATCATGCTTATTCCATGCAACGCGAGAAGCAAGTTAATAAGATTAATAATTAGTTAAGCCGAAAAAATAAGAACAAAAACAAAAAGAATAAAGAGCAATATTTGATTCTTGAAAAACTGATTCATTTTACTGAACAGAAATCATCAAAAAATATATTAATTTAAGGGAAAAAAGATTAACTGTCACACTTGACGACTTTTGAAATAAAAATGAAATTATACGTATATAGCTGACTCCTCCACAGAGTTAGTTTAAATGTATATAGCTGACCCCTCCACAGAGTTAGTTTATATGTATATAGCTGACCCCTCCACAGAGTTAGTTTATACGTATATAGCTGACCCCTCCACAGAGTTAGTTTATACGTATATAGCTGACCCCTCCACAGAGTTAGTTTATACGTATATAGCTGACCCCTCCACAGAGTTAGTTTATACGTATATAGCTGACCCCTCCACAGAGTTAGTTTATACGTATATAGCTGACCCCTCCACAGAGTTAGTTTATACGTATATAGCTGACCCCTCCACAGAGTTAGTTTATACGTATATAGCTGACCCCTCCACAGAGTTAGTTTATACGTATATAGCTGACCCCTCCACAGAGTTAGTTTATACGTATATAGCTGACCCCTCCACAGAGTTAGTTTATACGTATATAGCTGACCCCTCCACAGAGTTAGTTTATACGTATATAGCTGACCCCTCCACAGAGTTAGTTTATACGTATATAGCTGACCCCTCCACAGAGTTAGTTTATACGTATATAGCTGACCCCTCCACAGAGTTAGTTTATACGTATATAGCTGACCCCTCCACAGAGTTAGTTTATACGTATATAGCTGACCCCTCCACAGAGTTAGTTTATACGTATATAGCTGACCCCTCCACAGAGTTAGTTTATACGTATATAGCTGACCCCTCCACAGAGTTAGTTTATACGTATATAGCTGACCCCTCCACAGAGTTAGTTTATACGTATATAGCTGACCCCTCCACAGAGTTAGTTTATACGTATATAGCTGACCCCTCCACAGAGTTAGTTTATACGTATATAGCTGACCCCTCCACAGAGTTAGTTTATACGTATATAGCTGACCCCTCCACAGAGTTAGTTTATACGTATATAGCTGACCCCTCCACAGAGTTAGTTTATACGTATATAGCTGACCCCTCCACAGAGTTAGTTTATACGTATATAGCTGACCCCTCCACAGAGTTAGTTTATACGTATATAGCTGACCCCTCCACAGAGTTAGTTTATACGTATATAGCTGACCCCTCCACAGAGTTAGTTTATACGTATATAGCTGACCCCTCCACAGAGTTAGTTTATACGTATATAGCTGACCCCTCCACAGAGTTAGTTTATACGTATATAGCTGACCCCTCCACAGAGTTAGTTTATACGTATATAGCTGACCCCTCCACAGAGTTAGTTTATACGTATATAGCTGACCCCTCCACAGAGTTAGTTTATACGTATATAGCTGACCCCTCCACAGAGTTAGTTTATACGTATATAGCTGACCCCTCCACAGAGTTAGTTTATACGTATATAGCTGACCCCTCCACAGAGTTAGTTTATACGTATATAGCTGACCCCTCCACAGAGTTAGTTTATACGTATATAGCTGACCCCTCCACAGAGTTAGTTTATACGTATATAGCTGACCCCTCCACAGAGTTAGTTTATACGTATATAGCTGACCCCTCCACAGAGTTAGTTTATACGTATATAGCTGACCCCTCCACAGAGTTAGTTTATACGTATATAGCTGACCCCTCCACAGAGTTAGTTTATACGTATATAGCTGACCCCTCCACAGAGTTAGTTTATACGTATATAGCTGACCCCTCCACAGAGTTAGTTTATACGTATATAGCTGACCCCTCCACAGAGTTAGTTTATACGTATATAGCTGACCCCTCCACAGAGTTAGTTTATACGTATATAGCTGACCCCTCCACAGAGTTAGTTTATACGTATATAGCTGACCCCTCCACAGAGTTAGTTTATACGTATATAGCTGACCCCTCCACAGAGTTAGTTTATACGTATATAGCTGACCCCTCCACAGAGTTAGTTTATACGTATATAGCTGACCCCTCCACAGAGTTAGTTTATACGTATATAGCTGACCCCTCCACAGAGTTAGTTTATACGTATATAGCTGACCCCTCCACAGAGTTAGTTTATACGTATATAGCTGACCCCTCCACAGAGTTAGTTTATACGTATATAGCTGACCCCTCCACAGAGTTAGTTTATACGTATATAGCTGACCCCTCCACAGAGTTAGTTTATACGTATATAGCTGACCCCTCCACAGAGTTAGTTTATACGTATATAGCTGACCCCTCCACAGAGTTAGTTTATACGTATATAGCTGACCCCTCCACAGAGTTAGTTTATACGTATATAGCTGACCCCTCCACAGAGTTAGTTTATACGTATATAGCTGACCCCTCCACAGAGTTAGTTTATACGTATATAGCTGACCCCTCCACAGAGTTAGTTTATACGTATATAGCTGACCCCTCCACAGAGTTAGTTTATACGTATATAGCTGACCCCTCCACAGAGTTAGTTTATACGTATATAGCTGACCCCTCCACAGAGTTAGTTTATACGTATATAGCTGACCCCTCCACAGAGTTAGTTTATACGTATATAGCTGACCCCTCCACAGAGTTAGTTTATACGTATATAGCTGACCCCTCCACAGAGTTAGTTTATACGTATATAGCTGACCCCTCCACAGAGTTAGTTTATACGTATATAGCTGACCCCTCCACAGAGTTAGTTTATACGTATATAGCTGACCCCTCCACAGAGTTAGTTTATACGTATATAGCTGACCCCTCCACAGAGTTAGTTTATACGTATATAGCTGACCCCTCCACAGAGTTAGTTTATACGTATATAGCTGACCCCTCCACAGAGTTAGTTTATACGTATATAGCTGACCCCTCCACAGAGTTAGTTTATACGTATATAGCTGACCCCTCCACAGAGTTAGTTTATACGTATATAGCTGACCCCTCCACAGAGTTAGTTTATACGTATATAGCTGACCCCTCCACAGAGTTAGTTTATACGTATATAGCTGACCCCTCCACAGAGTTAGTTTATACGTATATAGCTGACCCCTCCACAGAGTTAGTTTATACGTATATAGCTGACCCCTCCACAGAGTTAGTTTATATGTATATAGCTGACCCCTCCACAGAGTTAGTTTATATGTATATAGCTGACCCCTCCACAGAGTTAGTTTATACGTATATAGCTGACCCCTCCACAGAGTTAGTTTATATTTACACCATCATATGGTTATACATAAAATTCTGATTAGATTTTGGTTGTCATATAGTTAGGGTCAAAGGTCTCACTGGACAATCTTTTCATATCCTGATTGGGAGTTGGCTTCTATTTCAATAATTATTGTAATATCTAAATATTTATATTTAAAATTGTTTACCAATGTTATACATGTATACTGTATTAAGTAAATTTCTATTGATGTATGGTTCTTTTATATAACAATATTATATATATATACCACTGAACCGGCATGTGTTCCTTCAGAAAACTGTTTCCATGGTGACAGGTCTATACATCAGTGTTGGTATTCAGATATCCAGACTATAAATAGATTATTACAAACAAGTAAACAAACACGCTACAACAACAATAAATATTATTACGATTCTTAATCCGAACACCGGTTATCTTACTTAAAGGATGTCGCATACTTGCAAAGTTTTTGAAATTTTCGTGGTGGAGATTACCCCTGCTCAGAATTAAAATCCTAAATAAGCTGTGTTTATATACACGGGAAACAGTAACACTTTAAAATGACCTCTTTGGAGCTGTTCTTTTCGATGAAACCAACAGATCTCAGAAAATAGGAATAGTTTAGTAAATTCACACTTGGAAAAAGCTCAATTAACGGGTCCAAAATCAGGAGTCTCCCCCCTAACTAGGGAGAGTTGGCTACTAGGTTGTTGGTGATAGAACACCTTAGCTAGTTTTGATTAGGTCACCTGAGACAAAGTCTCAAGTGACCTATTGCGATCGCCTTTTGTCCGTCGTCGTCCGTCGTGTGTCTGTAAACAATTTACATTTTCGACTTCTTCTCCAAAACCCTTGAATCAATTTCAAAGAAATTTTGCAGGGACCTTCCATGGACAAAGGTCAACAAAAAAAGTGGCCGGTTTAGTCCAAAGCCCCAGGGGTCTGAGGGGCAGGGCCAAAAAGGGTCAAATTGACTAAAATTTCAAAAATCTTCTTCTCAAGACCCAGATATGGTAGAATCAAATACTCTTCATATATGGAAGGGTCTTAAGGTGTTTTACCGAAATTGTGAATTTCTTGACCCTGGGGTCTCACGTTTCCCCCTGGGGAGGGGGTAAACTTTACTATAGTTTATATAGGGAAATCACATTTTGGACCAACATTTGTTTAATTTCCATTGGAAGTAATTCAATTTGGGTTAGCATTATCAGTATTAGGTNGGGCTGATGGGTGGGGCAAAAAAGGGTTGAATTGACTGAAATTTCAAAAATCTTCTTCTCAAGACCCAGATATGGTAGAATCAAATGCTCTTCATAGATGGAAGGGTCTTATGACCCTAGGGTTTCACGTTTACCCCCTGGGGAAGGAGCTGGGAGGGAGGGGCCAAAAATTTATTATGGTTTATAATGGCAAATGATACTTTGAATATTACATGTTAATGACTTGATTGGAATTATAACCTTGAGTTGACAGTTTGATACTTTGAAAATTTTGAGCCAGCCCTCCCCTCAAGGGCTGTAGGGTGGGGCTCAAAGGAGTCAGTGTGCTAAAATTTCTTCATTTTCCTTGTTTAGAATCAATAGTGCTACTTTCAAATACTTTTTAGTCTGAAATCTGTATGCTAGATATTGAATAAGGTGGTTTTATTGTTTTTTGTCACTTTGAATAATATTTCTGTTCATGTTAAAAACAAAATCAACTCTCTGTATAAATACATCAGGTGACTGTTAAGGCCCATGGGCCTCTTGTCATCATAATATTATGATGTTGATGTAAGCTCACTGAGCAGAAAATGGTGTTGGTTTGAAGGGATTTTTTTATCACAATAAGTTATTCCATTGTCCTCTCATTAGAATGAAGAAAAAGCTCCTTTAATCTTAAGAAGATTTTCCATTGTGATATTAAAATGTTTCAAAGGTTTTATAAAGTTTTACTTCTTAGGTTTTATTAAACAATATTAAGAGGATTTATTTGTTGCCAGAAAGACACAAAATTATTCATTTATTATCAAAGGGAGACAATATGTAGTTCTTTCTAAACTCAGTAAAAAAGCTAGTAGATGGGTGAACGAGCCTTAAAGTTTGTCGTTTATAATTGTATTATTTATCAGTTTATTTTGTGTATTGCTTTTTGATTTTTGTCAATCTTCTGTAGCGAGAACAGAATTTGACATACATTAAGTAGTTAAAAGATATTGCAGTGTAATGAGAATATATATCTGTTTAGAGTTTGTCAAGAGGATTATTTTTCAACCATTTTTCATAAAATTATTGGTAATTTTGATTGTATGTAGTTAGGTGCATGAAGGAGGTAAATTATAATTTCATCTTTAATACCTGTGATTGATAATGAAGCTGTTGATATGATTTTGCCAGTTTAACATAACATTTGCATGGATCATTCATACATCTCTGTTTATAAAGGATTCAGACATTGTCTCTCCCTTTATATGACCCGTTTGTCTTTAATTGGCTGCAGTTATCTCCCTTTTTTATGATCTGTCGTTTGACTTTGTGCTTGCAAATCTTTACGAAATATTTTCTAAATCTTGTATAAACTTACTATGTCCTGATAATTATTACAAACTTATCAGGATAATCTTCTCATTATTTTTGGACAAATTTCTAAAACTAGATCATTTCATCTTATCATTGTGTGATATGTTTGAAGACTCACTATAACACTCACTGCCTATTGTGCTTGGGTGTTTTGTTATTTTGACAATTGATAACATTGATAATATATTTGTTAAAACAAGGTTTTAATAAATGAATAATAGACAAACTGTATTATCTGAGATACAATAACTTTATTTATTATTTTACAAATTTGTTTGAAACATAACTCCTATTTAAATCCCTTGTTGACATTTATATTTGTTTGATAAAAAAAATATAAAGAAAAATAACAAGATATATCACATTGTGATTTTTTTTACAAATTTACAATTGGATGTTAAACATGAATTGTTTCCATGGAAACAGGAAGGAAAAGATCATGGGAAAGACAAAAAGGTGAAGGAGTGGAGACAAAGTGGGAAAGTAAGTCTAACAGGCATGAGTTGTCTCCCTTACCAACACTTACTGTGATATAGTTACCTCATTTTGATTTTGATGTTTGTTGCTTTGGTGTAAATGTGTATGATTTTCATGATTCAATCTGTAAATAATAATTTCCAGTTCATTTGTACAACCAACATTTCATAGCAGTACAATTTCTTGTTTCTGTTCAGAATTAGATAATGCACATTTGAGTAACCAATTTTTAAATTTTCAGACAAATTTTGAAATTGCAATGCTCATTAAATATGGACACAAAAAAAATCAGAGAAAATATTTGTGATTTAAATAATAAATTACTAATTCACCAAAATGTTAAAGGACTATGTATGGTTTTGGCTATTTTTGCCCTGAAATCCATCAAAATTCAAAAGTTTTAATTGAATTTAATTCAGCTTGAATATTTCCCTCGTTATGAAAATATTTTGTTTGTGCTTTTAATTATTTCATGGTAACCAGTTGAAATATGCATAAATTAGTAAAATTTTATTGTCAATGTTGTTATGGTTACTCATGTTTTTAATGGAGATTTTCAAAATGACCAAATGTTTTAAAAACGTAGTAATGAATGAATATTTCATTGTAAGTATTTATTTTAGTGATCATTTTTAATTTCTGTTTATGTAGTTTTAGTTTGTAATTTTCAGTTTCTTTATAACTAGGATATACCATTTCTGTAATGTATAGTCACTGTGATAGCCTATTCAATGTGGCCTTCACTTATCTTTATACATGTGTACTTGCATGTTTGTAATGGCCTGATGTCATGTTATTACCGTAGTTTAGTCTACAATAAGCCCAGGGAGGGAACACAGTCTGTGACTTCAAGTAAGGGAGGGGCTCATTTCAGGAAAATGAACATTTCTTGACATTTCTACTTAACTACAACATATATGGGTGGGCTTATTACCAGGCATGGGCTTATTGCTTGATAAGTATAGTATATATTTTTTACTGATATATGTGTTGTTTTGTATTTAGTCTATCTGTTACTACATTTTTTAGTAAATAATTAATTGAATTTTTGTTTGTTTTTATTTGCAAAAAACTGTTGAAGTTTTAGATTTTACTCCATTTTAAATTTATTCCATTTCAGATTTCAAAACACAGATGTATCAGACAAAATCAATTTGTTTTAAAATTAAAATAACATTCTGTGCACCGGGTAGAGATAGAGTATGTTATTACATTTAACATGAAAATAAAACCACACAACATAAACATTTGAAAGAAAATGAAAATGGCTACAATAATATTTTAGCATTTTTGTCCTGCTGGCATACCTCAAGTTCATTTATTTCCTTTTGGTGAATATTTAATGGATTATATTTTGTGCCTGCACCTCGTTGTTGACAGAGTGACACACCGAGGATGACCATGGTAAACAGCTATACACACATTTTAAACTTCAGGTCACTTCTTATTGGGTCTGGCACAGATGGCTCTGACTGGAATCTTTGAATTCATCATTTCATATCTTTTCCAAAAGAGATGGATAAATTGGAAAAATCCAGTTGTTAAATAGATTTATATGTTTGTTGGGTCTGGATTTCGTGCTGATTTTTAGCTCACCTGGCCCAAAGGGCCAAGTGAGCTTATGGCATGGTGCCGCATCCGGCGTCCGTCTGTCCGTCGTCAACATTTTACTTTAAACAACTTCTTCTCAGTAACCAATAGGCCTAGGGTGATGATATTTGGCTAGACGCATGCTGGGATGAAGGGCTAGCAAGTTTGTTCAAATAAATGACCTTGACTTATATTCAAGGTCACATGGGTCAGATATGTTTAAAACCTTTCAACAACTTCTTCTGAATAACCGATAAGCCTAGGGTGATGATATTTGGCCAGAAGCATGCTGGGATGAAAGGCTACCAAGTTTGTCTAAATAAATGACCTTCATCCATTTTCAAGGTCACAGGGGTCAAATATGTTAAAATTCTTTATACAACTTCTTCTGAATAACCAAGAGGCATAGGGTGATGATATTTGGCTAGACGCATGCTGGGATGAAGGGCTACCAAGTTTGTTCAAATAAATGACCTTGATTTATATTCTAGGTCACAGGGGTCAAATATGTTTAAAACCTTTAAACAACTTCTTCTGAATAACCGATAAGCCTAGGGTGATGATATTTGGCCAGTATCGTGCTGGGATGAAGGGCTACCAAGTTCGTTCAAATGAATGACCTTGACCAATATTCAAGGTCACAGGTGTCAAATGTCTTAAAATCTTCAAACAACTTCTTTTCAATGACCAAAAGACCCAGGGTACTGATATTTGGCCTGTAGCAATCAGGGCTACCAAATTTGTTCAAATGAATGACCTTGACCCACTTTCAACCTAATGTCATTGTTTGACATTCAGGGTCACACTGATATTCTGCCTGTATAGCTGTATTTTAGTCCACTTTTAAGATTACGAGTGTGAGATTAATACCAGGTGAGCGATGCAGGCCCATTGGGCCTCTTGTATGAGTGTGATATGTGTCAAAATGGAAATGTTAATATATAATGGACATTGGTGTAACTTTATTAAATTTCATTTTGAGGGTTTGTAGTTTTATTATATCATTTGACTTGTTAAAGTGACATTTTTATATGATAAATATTTCCATTTGGTTTCCTTGGAAAAAATGGTGAAACTTGTTATCATTAATCAAAATATCTGGATAAAAATAGTCTTCTGTTAAGTTTTAAACTTGCACATAATTGGATCAGGTATCCAGGACCTGTATGCTTTACTATAACGGTGTATAACAGTAAACAAGTTTTATCACATATATGAAATATATTATAAGTTATATTACCTGTATAGGTTATTACAAACACAACAAATAGGTTTCATTATAATGATGATGTATTTGTAATAACCTAATACAGGTAATATAATCCAAGTTCCTTATAAACTATCTTTGTGTATCAATGATTAGAGAAGAACATGTCAAATGTTTAAAAGTTATTTGTTTTTTTGGTGGTTTTTTTATGTGGTTGTGGAGATTTTGGTTTAAAAAAATGTATTTTTATATTATGACTGAATTAAATTGTAATTCATGAACAAATGTAATTGATTCTGTTTATATATAATAACCTTTTTTAGGTCACCTGAGCTTTGCTCAAGTGACCTATTCCAATCGCTTTTCGTCCGTCGTCGTCCGTCGTCCGTCGTCCGTCGTGCGTCGTGCGTAAACTTTTACATTTTCAACTTCTTCTCAAGAACCAGTGGATGGATTTTTTTCAAACTTGGTCAGAATCATCCTTGGTAGATGAGGCTTCAAAATTGTAAAATTGGGATTCCTACCCCCACCCCTGGGGCCAGGGCGGGGCCCCAAAGGGAAAATTATCCAATATTTCAAAAATCTTCTTCTCCAGACTCAGAGGTACTACAGTGATTTTCTCTACGTGGAAAGAAAGATCATCAGGGGCTTTACTTAAATTGTAAATTTCAGGACCCCCGAGCTATCCGTTCTCCCTTGGGGAGGGGGTAAAGTTTACTATAGTTTATATAGGGAAATAACACTTTTGGGTATATTTTGACAACTTTCTGTAGGAAATTATTTTTACTTGGTGAGAATTATCCTTGGAGGTAGATGGTTTCAAATTGTAAAATTGAGATTCCTACCCCGACCCCTGGGGCCAGGGCGGGGCCCCAAAGGGAAAATTAATCAATATTTCAAAAATCTTCTTCTCCAGACTCAGAGGTACTACAGTGATTTTCTCTACGTGGAAAGAAAGATCATCAGGGGCTTTACTTAAATTGTAAATTTCAGGACCCCCGAGCTATCCGTTCTCCCTTGGGGAGGGGGTAAAGTTTACTATAGTTTATATAGGGAAATAACACTTTTGGGTATATTTTGACAACTTTCTGTAGGAAATTATTTTTACTTGGTGAGAATTATCCTTGGAGGTAGATGGTTTCAAATTGTAAAATTGAGATTCCTACCCCGACCCCTGGGGCCAGGGCGGGGCCCCAAAGGGAAAATTAATCAATATTTCAAAAATCTTCTTCTCCAGACTCAGAGGTACTACAGTGATTTTCTCTACGTGGAAAGAAAGATCATCAGGGGCTTTACTTAAATTGTAAATTTCAGGACCCCCGAGCTATCCGTTCTCCCTTGGGGAGGGGGTAAAGTTTACTATAGTTTATATAGGGAAATAACACTTTTGGGTATATTTTGACAACTTTCTGTAGGAAATTATTTTTACTTGGTGAGAATTATCCTTGGAGGTAGATGGTTTCAAATTGTAAAATTGAGATTCCTACCCCGACCCCTGGGGCCAGGGCGGGGCCCCAAAGGGAAAATTAATCAATATTTCAAAAATCTTCTTCTCCAGACTCAGAGGTACTACAGTGATTTTCTCTACGTGGAAAGAAAGATCATCAGGGGCTTTACTTAAATTGTAAATTTCAGGACCCCCGAGCTATCCGTTCTCCCTTGGGGAGGGGGTAAAGTTTACTATAGTTTATATAGGGAAATAACACTTTTGGGTATATTTTGACAACTTTCTGTAGGAAATTATTTTTACTTGGTGAGAATTATCCTTGGAGGTAGATGGTTTCAAATTGTAAAATTGAGATTCCTACCCCGACCCCTGGGGCCAGGGCGGGGCCCCAAAGGGAAAATTAATCAATATTTCAAAAATCTTCTTCTCCAGACTCAGAGGTACTACAGTGATTTTCTTTACGTGGAAAGAAAGATCATCAGGGGCTTTATTTAAATTGAAAATATCAGGACCCCGAGCTATCCGTTCTCCCTTGGGGAGGGGTTAACGTTTAATATAGTTTATATAGGGAAATAACACTTTTCGGTATATATTTTATATATTTTCAGCAGAAAATTGCTCAAACTTAGTCAGAATCATCTTGGGTAAATGAGAGTTTTACTTTGTAAAATTAGGATTCCTGCCCCATCCCCAGGGGCTAGAGGGGGGCCCCAAAGGGAACATTTACCAATATTTTCAAATTCTTATCCATTGATGACATGACAAGTATTGTATTTCACTTAGTTTACATGCTGATTTCCACATCACATCTAAACAATAAAATAAAGCTACCAGTATCTATGATATAACTCAGGTGACCGCTAAGGCCCTTGGGCCTCTTGTTTAAAAAAGTCTCGCCTGTCTCACCTCTATGACATCGTAGGCGAGACAATAGTGTTATACATTAATGTGAATCTATTTATTCCAGATGTGTTTTTTATCTGCATATCCAAAACATTTCTTTGCTGTTGTTTTTTGCAGATTTTCCTGAATTAATTGATAGATGATTTTTCTATACTTAAGAGTTTTCTAAGGAAAAAGTAGCAGTTCAATGTAATTCCTATAGAATATGCTCTAAATAGTTGACGTTTCTATACTGAACACAAAAAGAAACGCACAATTAAATTATGCAATCAATAGCCTATGATATTTTGGGAAATTTGTACAAAATTTTATATCAATATGAAGGGACAAGTCTACTCTTTACAATAGTGTAGAAGAAAAGTCTGTGTGACGTCACTCGTGTCATCAGTAGTTACTCAAAGTGGGATACCCGCGAAAAACAAAATGACACTTCAGTACCAGGTGTGGGCACCTTTTGCACGAATCCCTGCACGGATTCTCCTATGCATTGAATTCATGAGAACATTTATTCGCCTGAAGGGAATGTTTTTCCATTCATGTGTTAATGCTGCGATCAACTGGGCATGGTTAGTTGGGGGGTTTAGACGTTTCCTAATACGCCTGTCCAGCTTATCCCACAGATGCTCAATGGGAGACATGTCGGGGCTATATGGGGGCCATTCCAGAGGCTGAACGTTGTTTGCCGTGAGAAAATCACGACAGACTCTGGCAACATGCGGTCGAGCATTGTCTTGCTGGAAAATTAGGTTATGACGTCTGAGAAGTGGAAGGACATGTGGTTGGAGGATCTGGTCTCTGTATAGAACGGCATTAAGGTTTTGATCCAGGACCACTAAGGGAGATTTTACTCCATGGGAGATGCCTCCCCAAACCATTACAGAAGCCCCACCGAATCTATCGCATTCAACCACGCATGCGTCGGCGAATCGCTCACCGCATCTGCGATATACCCTTTTTCTTCCATCTGAGCGATACAGACAGAATCTAGACTCGTCGGTGAACATCATACGCCTCCATCGACGCATCCCAAACCTATTCGGGCCATGTCTGCGCATCCTGTCAAGACGCACTTGCCGCCTCCGTGGTGTCAGAGGTGGCCCGACATAAGGTCGGCGCGCAATGATTCTCTCGGCACGCAAGCGGTTCCTGGCAGTTTGAGGACTAATGGGTCTGCCATGGGTACCTTAGGTATGCGACGCAGTCTCTACAGCAGTCTTGAATCTGTTGCGCAAGTGCGACAATCGAATCGCCCTGTGTTGTCGTGCGGTCGTTACACGCAGACGACCGCACCTGGGACGATCGGAAACTAACCTAGTAGCATGGAAACGTGTACAGAGACGGTTAATTGTACACGGGCCAACACCAAACTGCCGTGCGACAGCAGTTTGGCTATAACCATCCATCAACATCGCAATTGCTTTACCACGCCGCGTTATTTTGACTAAAAAAGCTCACAAAGTCACACAATTACATTGTCACGCTAAGCTGATTTTAGGGTAGATTGTTGAGAAGGGAGATCGTTCTTGATGTAATACCTGACCAAATATTCCATTATTTCCTTACAGCTAAGGTGTACTGCAGGGGGGGAACTTCGTGCGTTTCTTTTTTTGTTCAGTATATGGTTACAATGTGTTACTTTTGTTACAGGCCTGTAGTTTTTGTTACTATGGTTACATTGTGTTATCATAACATGGTTGTACTTCATGTTGCTATGGTTACAGTGAGTCACTATGGTTACAGACCTATACTTTATGTTACTATGATTAAAATATGTCACTATGGTTACTACCTAAACTTTGTGTTACTATGGCTACAATATGTTTCCTTGATAACATAACTATACTTTGTGTTACTATGGTTACAATGTGTTACTATGATTACAGACCTATATTGTGTGTTACTATGATTACAATGAGTTACTATGGCTACAGACCTATACTTTGTGTTATGATGGTTACAATGAGTTACTATGGCTACAGACCTATACTTTGTGTTACTATGGTAACAGGAAGTTACTATGGTTACAGACCTATACTTTGTGTTACTATGGTTACAGACCTATACCTTGTGTTACTGTGATAACAGTGAGTTACTATGGCCACAGACCTATACTTTGTGTTACTATGATAACAGGAAGTTACTTTGGTTACAGACCTATACTTTGTGTTACTATGGTAACAGGAAGTTACTATGGTTACAGACCTATACTTTGTGTTGCTATGATAACAGTAAGTTACTTTGGTTACAGACCTATACATTGTGTTACTATGGTTACAGACCTATACTTTGTGTTACTATGATAACAGTAAGTTACTTTGGTTACAGACCTATACTTTGTGTTACTATGGTTACAGACCTATACTTTGTGTTACTGTGATAACAGTGAGTTACTATGGCTACAGACCTATACTTTGTGTTACTATGATAACAGTGAGTTACTATGGCTACAGACCTATACTTTGTGTTACTATGGTAACAGTAAGTTACTATGGCTACAGACCTATACTTTGTGTTACTATGATAACAGTGAGTTACTATGGTTACAGACCTATACTTTGTGTTACTATGATAACAGGAAGTTACTATGGCTACAGACCTTTATGTTTGTTTTATTTGGTTACATAGTGTTGTTATGGTCACAGGCCTTTATGATGCATTGCATTGGTAACAGGCCTATTTTAATCTTACAGAAATGTGTTACTATAGTAACATTGTGTTACTTTATTTACAGGCCTGTTTGAAGATAGGTGATACAGAGTGGTCTGACAAATTTTCTCTGGATGTCGTAGGAAGTTCTGGAACTGTCCAATGTAAGACCAAAACGAGAACATTTGAGGTAGGTGTTCATCAGTTACTTTGTCATCTTTGGTAGGAATTGTAGTCTCTGTATGGTTATAAAGCTAAAATTTGTGTCCTGTTGTGAAAAAGATTAAATTAGTTTAAAGAATGACAACTCTGTATAGATCCAGAGTTATCTGCTTTACTCTTGAATTAGGATAATCTCCCTTTTATAATCAGCATGTATATTTGTATAATGGGAGTGGGAAAATGCACTGCCAGACCAGGATTCACTGAACTCCAAACTCTAGACAGACTCTACTTATTGAGCTGTACCTGGTGGCTGATGATCCCCCCAGTCCTGTTCCGCTATGCTCCTCCCTACTTCAAACAAGGGTTGGCAAGCTCGCCAATTTTGTAATTTGTGTATTATTGTGGGTTTAATTTACCTCCCTGTAAGGTGTATTTTTTGTGTATCATTGTAGGTTTAAGTTACCTCCCTTTATGGTGTTTGTTTTGTGTATCATTCTAGGTTTAAGTTACCTCCCTTTATGGTATCATTGTAAGTGTAGGTTACCTCCCTTTATGACATATGTTTTGTGTATCATTGTAGGTTTAAATTACCTCCCTTTTTTGTATCATTGTAGGTTTAAGTTACCTCCCTTTATGGTGTATGTTTTGTGTATCATTGTAGGTTTAAGTTACCTCCCTTTATGGTATCGTTGTAGGTTTAAGTTACCTCCCTTTATGACATATGTTTTTTGTATCATTGTAGGTTTAAGTTACCTCCCTTTATGGTGTATGTTTTGTGTATCATTGTAGGTTTAAGTTACCTCCCTTTTTGGTATCATTGTAGGTTTAAGTTACCTCCCTTTATGGTATCATTTTAGGTTTAAGTTACCTCCCTTTATGGTGTATGTTTTGTGTATCATTGTAGGTTTAAGTTACCTTCCTTTATGGTATCATTGTAGGTTTAAGTTACCTCCCTTTTTGGTATCATTGTAGGTTTAAGTTATCTCTTTTTATGGTATCATTGTAGGTTTAAGTTACCTCCTTTTATGACATATGTTTTGTGTGTTGTTGTAGGTTTAAGTTACCTCCCTTTATGTTGTATGTTTTTGTGTATTTAATGTAGGTTTAAGTTACCTCCCTTTATGGTGTATGTTTTGTATATCATTGTAGGTTTAACTTACCTCCCTTTATGGTGTCATTGTAGGTTTAACTTACCTCCCTTTATGGTATCATTGTAAGTTTAGGTTACCTCCCTTTATGGTGTATGCTTTGTGTATCATTGTAGGTTTAAGTTACCTCCCTTTATGGTGTATGCTTTGTGTATCATTGTAGGTTTAAGTTACCTCCCTTTATTGTGTATGTTTTGTGTATCATTGTAGGTTTAAGTTACCTCCCTTTACGGTATCATTGTAGGGTTAAGTTACCTCCCTTTATGGTGTCATTGTCTGTTTAAGTTACCTCCCTTTATAGTGTATGTTTTGTGCATTATTGTAGGTTGGTGTTAACATTGTCCTGTCACAGAGCGGTCTCACCAAACTCTGTACATTTACTCCGTACTACATGCTACTTAACACTGCCGATCATTCCCTGCTGATAGCTGAGTCTACATCCACACAGACCTGGTACGAGGTCAAAGCTAAAGAGGTAAGCCATCTTACATTTCTTTGCTTGTGAACAAAATACAACTCATGAAAACTGAGAAGGTGCACTTCTTTACATGTGTGCCCTTTGATATAGGGTGGTGCACTTCTCTACATGTGTGCCCTTTGATACAGGGTGGTGCTCTTAGCTATATGGGTGCCCTTTGATACAGGGTGGTACATCTCTCTACATGTATGTCCTTTGATACAGGGTGGTGCACTTCCTATATGTGTGCCCTTTGATACAGGGGGGTACACATCTCTATATGTGTGCCCTTTGATACAGTGTGGTACACTTCTCTATATGTGTGCCCTTTGATACAGGGTGGTGCACCTATCTATATGTGTGTCCTTTGATACAGGGTGGGAAGGTGCACTTCTTTACATGTGTGCCCTTTGATATAGGGTGCTGCACTTCTCTACATGTGTGCCCTTTGATATAGGGGGGTGCACTTCTCTACATGTGTGCCCTTTGATATAGGGTGGTGCACCTCTCTACATGTGTGTCCTTTGATACAGGGTGGTGCACCCCTCTATATGTGTGTCCTTTGATACACGGTGGTGCACCTCTATACATGTGTGTCCTTTGATACAGGGTGGGAAGGTGCACTTCTTTACATGTGTGCCCTTTGATACAGGGTGGTGCCCCTCTCTATATGTGTGTCCTTTGATTCAGGGTGGTGCACCTCTCTATATGTGTGCCCTTTGATACAGGGTGGTACACTTCTCTATATGTGTGCCCTTTGATACAGGGTGGTGCACTTCTCTATATGGGTGCCCTTTGATACAGGGTGGTACACCTCTCTACATGTTTGTCCTTTGATACAGGGTGGTGGACTTATCTATATGTGTGTCCTTTGATACAGGGTGGTGCACCTCTCTACATGGGTGTCCTTTGATACAGGGTGGTGCACCTCTCTACATGTGTGTCCTTTGCTACATGGTGGTGCACTTCTCTACATGTGTGCCCATTGATACAGGGTGGTGCACCTCTCTATATGTGAGTCCTTTGATACAGGGTGGTGCACCTCCTATATGGGTGCCCTTTGATACAGGGTGGTACACCTCTCTACATGTTTGTCCTTTGATACAGGGTGGTGCACTTATCTATATGTGTGTCCTTTGATACAGGGTGGTGCACCTCTCTACATGTGTGTCCTTTGATACAGGGTGGTGCACTTCTCTACATGTGTGCCCTTTGATACAGGGTGGTGCACTTCCTATATGTGTGCCCTTTGATACAGGGTGGTGCACTTCTCTATATGTGTGTCCTTTGATACAGGGTGGTGCACCTCTCTACATGTGTGTCCTTTGATACAGGGTGGTGCACCTCTCTACATGTGTGTCCTTTGATACAGGGTGGTGCACTTCTCTACATGTGTGTCCTTTGATACAGGGTGGTGCACTTCTCTATATGTGTGTCCTTTGATACAGGGTGGTGCACCTCTCTACATGTGTGTCCTTTGATACAGGGTGGTGCACTTCTCTACATGTGTGTCCTTTGATACAGGGTGGTGCACTTCTCTATATGTGTGTCCTTTGATACAGGGTGGTGCACCTCTCTACATGTGTGTCCTTTGATACAGGGTGGTGCACTTCTCTACATGTGTGTCCTTTGATACAGGGTGGTGCACTTCTCTATATGTGTGTCCTTTGATACAGGGTGGTGCACCTCTCTACATGTGTGCCCTTTGATACAGGGTGGTGCACTTCCTATATGTGTGCCCTTTGATACAGGGTGGTACACCTCTCTATATGTGTGTCCTTTGATACAGGGTGGTGCACTTCTCTACATGTGTGTCCTTTGATACAGGGTGGTGCACTTCCTATATGTGTGCCCTTTGATACAGGGTGGTGCACTTCTCTACATGTGTGCCCTTTGATATAGGGTGGTGCACTTCTCTATATGTGTGTCCTTTGATACAGGGTGGTGCACTTCCTATATGTGTGTCCTTTGATATAGGGTGGTGCACTTCTCTACATGTGTGCCCTTTGATACAGGGTGGTGCACTTCTCTATATGTGTGCCCTTTGATACAGGGTGGTGCACCTCTCTACATGTGTGCCCTTTGATACAGGGTCGTGCACTTCTTTAAATTCTAACTGCAGTGAAGGTTAGCAATCAAATATAAATGTGACTTCTATTCTTTAAAATAATTACTTTTTTAGGCAATAAATTAATTCATGAAAGTGTTGTTTTTTAGAGGTCTATTACCATATTTTATAGAAATAATATGTTGTTTTATTTTTTTTCCAGTGTCAGCCATTTTGGCCACAGCTGACTGGGAAAGAAATGAAGATGAGAGCGAAGGTCAAAGGGTCAGAGGTCATGACCTCTGAATTCCTGTTCAACAAAGCCAACAACACTCTGGCCAGACTGGATGACCAGGTGCATTTTGAACATTGTTAGATGTTAAGCTTGTATAGACTGTAATATGTCATCTTTATATTGTAGTCTTTTCTGAATTCTTTAATTCTGTAGAGTGTCATCATAATGTGATTTGTATATTCATTGTAGTTTTAAATGCCTACACACATTAGTCAAAAATTTCAAACTATATGATAAGCCAGTAAATATCCACTAAAAGTCATGTTCTGTTTTTCAAAATAAGATATATTTGACTGTTTTTGATTTTGAAATGATGGTGATGTCCTTCTACAGCACGGTGGTATCAACGTAGATTGTCAGGTGACCGAGTCTGCCATGGTAACCACGTTTAGCTCCTACAAGGACGGCATGGCCTCCGTACAGATTGTCAACCACACGGACGCAGCCTCCGTCACATTCCATCAGAGGTATATATGTACATAGAAGTCTAAAATAGGAAACTTATTTTTAAAAAATAGACCAAAATGTAAGAAAAGCCTCAGCTTGGTTCAAAGTTTACATGAAATTGGCAGATATGACAGTATATCCTTAACCGTTGACCTTTGACAATCAGCCTCAGTAGCTCAGGTGCTTCCTTATGTTTTTAAATACTTAAATTTTGATTATAAGTCTCTAAATTTATTAATGTCTGATGTATTTGTTGATACTGTATTATCGAGTCAATCCCATACTTTGAGTGAATATGACAGTTGAAATCTTTCCTTAATGTGTGTTAAGAGAGAATTCTATGTATTTCTAATGGAGATGAGGGAGCTCATAGACTCTCGCACATCTATGACCAAGTATTAAACTAAGCGGAACTGAATCGATCATACCTGTACAGATATAACAACTATTGTACATAGGCTTACAGCATAGGTGAATCAACATCAATTTTGTGGACAACTCGTACACATTTTACACCTTTGTGTGCATACATATCATTGGTCATTTGTCTGATGGAAAGGACTGAACATACCGTACTAGTCATCAAAACATCACATAGAAACTCTTATTGGTTGTGTAAAAAGATTTTTCATAAGAATTCTATGAGCTTTTGTTGTATTACAGCGGCTCTAAGAACATCCACTTGCTCGGGCCCGGTCACTTCATGATGTACACCTGGGAAAACCTGACCGACAAACGAGAGATTGTCTGGACATGTGGTGATAAAAAGGAGGTGAAAAACACACTTGTTGAGGTAAACATCAGTAAAAGCTCACTTGTTAAGATAGACTTCAGGAAAAGACACTCTTCGATGTTAGCATCAATAAAAACGCACTCGTTGAGGTAAACATCAGTAAAAGCACACTAGTTGAGGTAAACATCAGTAAAACACACTTGATAAGATAAACTTCAGGAAAAGACAGTCTTCGAGGTAAGCATCAGTAAAAACACACTTGTTAAGATAAACTTCAGGAAAAGACAGTCTTCGAGGTTAGCATCAGTAAAACACAATAAAGATAAACTTCAGGAAAAGACAGTCTTCGACGTTAGCATCAGTGAAACACACTTGTTAAGCTAAACTTCAGGTAAAGATACTCTTTGAAGTTAGCATCAGTAAAACACACTTGTTAAGATAAACTTCAGGAAAAGACACTCTTCAAGGCTAGCATCAGTAAAAACACTGTATCTGTATATATCTAGGTAGTAGGGGTATCTGTATATATCTAGGTAGTAGGGGTATCTGTATATATCTAGGTAGTAGGGGTATCTGTATATATCTAGGTAGTAGGGGTATCTGTATATATCTAGGTAGTAGGGGTATCTGTATATATCTAGGTAGTAGGGGTATCTGTATATATCTAGGTAGTAGGGGTATCTGTATATATCTAGGTAGTAGGGGTATCTGTATATATCTAGGTAGTAGGGGTATCTGTATATATCTAGGTAGTAGGGGTATCTGTATATATCTAGGTAGTAGGGGTATCTGTATATATCTAGGTAGTAGGGGTATCTGTATATATCTAGGTAGTAGGGGTATCTGTATATATCTAGGTAGTAGGGGTATCTGTATATATCTAGGTAGTAGGGGTATCTGTATATATCTAGGTAGTAGGGGTATCTGTATATATCTAGGTAGTAGGGGTATCTGTATATATCTAGGTAGTAGGGGTATCTGTATATATCTAGGTAGTAGGGGTATCTGTATATATCTAGGTAGTAGGGGTATCTGTATATATCTAGGTAGTATGGGTATCTGTATATATCTAGGTAGTAGGGGTATCTGTATATATCTAGGTAGTAGGGGTCTCTGTATATACCTAGGTAGTATGGGTATCTGTATATATCTAGGTAGTAGGGGTATCTGTATATATCTTAGTAGTAGGGGTATCTGTATATATCTAGGTAGTAGGAGTATCTGTATATACCTAGGTAGTAGGGGTATCTGTATATATCTAGGTAGTAGGGGTATCTGTATAATGTATAGATCTAGGTAGTAGGATTATCTGTATAGATCTAGGTAGTAGGAGTATCTGTATATATCTAGTTAGTAGGGGTATCTGTATATATCTAGGTAGTAGGGGTATCTGTATATATCTAGGTATTAGGGGTATCTGTATATATCTAGGTAGTAGGGGTATCTGTATAGATCTAGGTAGTAGGGGTATCTGTATATATCTAGGTAGTAGGGATCTGTGTGGTAAATCTTGTTAAAGTAAAAATTATCACCATTGTCTTTTTCTAAGCCATAACTAACAGCTACACAGTGTCCATTGGTCTGTAAAATTATCACATGACTATTGTGTTGCCAAAAAAGAAATGTCAGGTGGTGCAGTGGATAGCACACTTGCCTTTCACGAAGGTGGCCGGGGTTCAATTCCCCGATCGAACGTGAAAAGGTATGGGGTCACCTGCCCGACCACGTAGGTTTTCTCCAGGTTCTCTGGTTTCCTCCCACACAAAGACCCCCTGCGCTCTAAGATCCGGACCAACAAGAGTGATTAATATAAGTTGAATAACTCATAATTGTTGTAAAATAAATAAAGTTTATGATAAAAAAAAATTAAAATTAAATGGGAAGCATACAAATGTAAACTTGTTTATATCATTATATGATGTTTTGACCAGGATGATTACTTCTTTATATCATTATATGATGTTTTGACCAGGATGGTTATGACTATTTTGCCCTGTCCTCTGACAACAATGTCTACTGGGTGTCCTTCCTAGACGGCATGCAGCGAGTCTTATTGTTCACCGAGGACCTCAATCTCGCCACCCTTGCTCAGCAGGTATGTAAATCGTCAACAGGTACGTAACTCGTCAACAGGTACGTAACTCGTCAACAGGTATGTGACTCATCAGCAGGTATGTAACTCATCAACATGTATGTAACTCTTCAACAGGTATGTAACTCTTCAACAGGTATGTAACTCATCAGCAGGTATGTAACTCTTCAACAGGTATGTAACTCATCAACAGGTACGTAACTCGTCAACAGGTATGTAACTCTTCAACAGGTATGTAACTCATCAGCAGGTATGTAACTCTTCAACAGGTATGTAACTCGTCAACAGTTGTGTAACTCGTCAACAGGTATGTAACTTGTCAACAGTTGTGTTACTCGTCAACAATTGTGTAACTCGTCAACAGGTATGTAACTCATAAGCAGGTATGTAACTCGTCAACAGGTATGTAACTCTTCAACAGGTATGTAACTCATCAGCAGGTATGTAACTCTTCAACAGGTATGTAACTCGTCAACAATTGTGTAACTCGTCAACAGGTATGTAACTCGCCAATAGGTATGTAACTCATCAACAGTTGTGTAACTCGTCAATAGGTATGTAGCTCATCAACAGGTGTGTAACTCGACATGAACAAACTCCAAGCAAATGTTATACACACATGCCACCTTTACACACAGCACACATGCCACCTTTACACACAGTAGACATGCCACCTTTACACACAGTAGACATGCCACCTTTACACACAGTAGACATGCCACCTTTACACACAGTAGACATGCCACCTTTACACACAGCACACATGCCACCTTTACACACAGTAGACATGCCACCTTTACACACAGTAGACATGCCACCTTTACACACAGTAGACATGCCACCTTTACACACAGTAGACATGCCACCTTTACACGCAGTAGACATGCCACCTTTACACACAGTAGACATACTACTATATTAAAGTTTGTGGGTTGACAAGGTCAAAGTGAAAGTAGGGGACAGGATTATGTTTTATTGAAACATTTGTTATGTTTTAGTTTTTCGTTAAACAGAAACAATGTAAAAAAAGTCACGGTGAAACAAGGACACATATGTATGTTTTATTAATATATTTTTGTATTATTTATGTTTTAGTTTTGGTTAACAAACAGAAACAATGTAAGAACGGTTGTTATTGCAGTGACGGATTGGAATGCAGTCATTTGCATATAAACTAATTCCTTGACTCTCACAATCTGCTTAAAATCAAATCTTTCTCTTCATTCCTGTACAGACAGCACTTCACATCCTCATCATGGCCCCCTTATATAGATTCATGGCCCTTTTATGTAGAGATTCATGCCCTCCTTATAAAGAGATTCATGGCCCCCTTATATATACATTCTTGGCCCCTTTATGTAGAGATTATTGCCCCCTTATATAGAGATTCATGGCCCCCTATGTGGAGATTCATGGTCCCCTTATATAGAGATTAATGCCCCCCTTATGTAGAGATTCATGGCCCCTTTATGTAGAGATTAATGCCCCCTTATATAGAGATTCATGGCCCCTTTATGTAGAGATTATTGCCCTCTAATATAGAGATTCATGGCCCCCTTATATAGAGATTCATGGCCCCCTTATATGGAGATTCATGGACCCCTTATATAGAGATTAATGCGCCCCCCCCCCCCTTATATAGCGATTCATGGCCCCTTTATGTAGAGATTATTGCCCCCTTATATAGAGAGTCATGGCCCCCTTATATATACATTTCTGGTCCCCTTATATAGAGATTCATGTCCCCCTTATATAGAGATTCATGGCCCCCTTATATAGAGATTCATGGCCCATTATATAGAGATTCATGGCCCATTATATAGAGATTCATGGTTCCCTTATATAGAGAGTTATGGCCCCCTTATATAGAGATTCATGGGCCCCTTATATAGAGCTTCATGGCCCCTTATATAATGCTTCATGTCCCCCCTTGATATAGACATCCATGACCCCTTTATATATAGATTAATGGCCCCCTTATGTAGAGATTCATTGCCCCCTTTCAGGCCATTGTTTAGATAATTCAGATAATAATATAATCAAGGAGACCACAAAATTCTGGGTGATGACTTAATACCTTACACCACCAAACTGTTGTTCAATCAAATATTCACACTTCGCCGGTAAAATTAGAATTTACCCAGTGTTATGTTTGCTTTTCATGTGTAATTACTATTTGTGTGGTATGGTGTGTACTAATACTTGATTTCACAATAAATTTACCTCATCACCAAGTCTGAAATGTCACAATAAATTTCTCTCATCACAAAGTCTCAATAGGGCGAGAGTTACAAGCTGTAGTGAAAGTGATCATGTCTCTGTATACTATGTCTCTGTCTCTGTATACTATGTCTCTGTCTCTGTATACTATGTCTCTGTCTCTCTGTATACTATGTCTCTGTCTCTCTGTATACTATGTCTCTGTCTCTCTGTATACTATGTGTCTGTCTCTGTATACTATGTCTCTGTATACTGTGTCTCTGTCTCTGTATACTATGTCTCTGTCTCTGTATACTATGTCTATGTCTCTCTGTATACTATGTCTCTGTCTCTGTATACTATGTCTCTGTCTCT